CTCTATAGGCATCAGTGAATTGTGCCCGAGTACATCTTATATTCCAGTTAAAGTTACTCGGATGTAAAAGGGCTTCACTGGTTTAAAGTTACTGGGATGTAGTAGTGTGGAATGTGTAGTTCTCACTAGTATTGGGGTATACTGTAGTTGTAGTTATTTCTGTGGTATCCTGTAATTAATTGTGTGCAATACTGCATTACGTTTGGAAATGCTACATGGATGTTAGTAGCCCTTGAGACCGGGTTATATCCTGACATCAGAGAAATGGGATTTAGTGTAAGTCTGTCTAGGAACCTAGCTACCAGTGTACATCAGCAAAGCATAACCACTGACACACAAGTACTGGGACTGCTTCCTTCATTCCACATTATCCATGTTAAATGATGCTGATCATGACCAAATACATGACAAGAACACCTGANCTTCTGGCCTATTGTACCAGCCCCAGATGATATGTGAGGGTGATTATGGAGCAATTGGTGGAATGAAGATTGGCAGGGGAAACCGAAGTACTCAGAGAAAACCTGCCCCAGCGCCACTTTGTCCACCACAAATCCCACTTGAACAGACCCCGGGATCGAACCCAGGCCGCCGCGGTGGGAAGCCAACCACTAACCACTTGAGCAATGGCGTGACCCCATTATCCATGTTAAATGATGCCAATCATGACCAAATACATGACGAGAACACCTGATCTCCAGATTCATCAGAATGGAAGCAGACATTTCTGTGAAGCACTGGTAATCGATTGCACACTGACATGGGGGTTTGTCCAAGGAGGTTTTGTTTGTAAGAATTGAGATGGGTTGCAGGTGGGTTGGAAGTTGAACACGTGAATCTGTGGTTTTGTTAACTTCTGCTCCATGCAGTCTTTCTGAACCAGTGTAGCAAGACATTGAACTATTTGTTTTATGCATTTCACGAAATGTGGTAACAGCAGTTCAGTCTAGTACCTCATGGATGTATGGTGCTGTTTGTTAAAATGTTTCTGTCGGGATATGCCTATGCATATCTTGGTGACCAAGTTGTAATGACACTGACATGAAAGGTAGGTGAAATATATGTAATTCTTATTTGGAGGTCAGTGTTTGCTGTAAGGATTGAAAAAAAAGGCTTAAGGACCATGTTGGACTCTCCCTCATCCCAGTTTTCTGGACTTCTGTTGATTATCTGTGTATGAAGTTTTTTCCTTGTGTTTTTGTCATTAATGTGTAATGTACTGTTTTATAGGATTTGGTTTGTTTCAAATACGTCTTAAGTTGAATCCTGTCCTCGTAATCATTTTCAAGTGGTTCTGTTTACTTCCCCCCAGACTTTGCTTATCATTTCACCATCTCTTCATATTTGTGTGCACTTTGAGTTTGCAGCATTTAAATTTGTAATGGGCTGTCAGCTGTAGCAGCATAGCAATGTCAGGCAGAGTTGAGTGAATATACTGAGATTATACTTTGAGGAGACTTCATCTGAGGCTACAGGAATCAGAATAGGATTATCAATTTTGGTTGTGAAGAGTCAATTTTAATGTAGTGGATCTGCAATAGAAATTATTTGGATATTCAGATTGGGCCATGGTGTATGAACACAAAACATTTTGCTCCATTCATTACATTTCATGAGAAGTATGAAAGTCCCAAGTTAACTGAAAATGAGATGGCATGAATATATGAGGGAGGTGAAATTGCAAATTAAATGCCAGTGATATTGTCTGTGGATGCACTTAGCCATGGGGAATATTAATTTTGTATTTAGGGAGGTGGGGTTTGGGAAATGTTGCATATCTATGTGATGCAGGCTGAGTAAGGAGGCTTATAAGTAACAACTCAAATAGGGTCTGAACATGGAATTAATCTAAGGACTAGTTTGCATTGTGGGTTATCAGAAAATTTTTAGGGGATGAATTTCGTGAGGTGTATTGAGGACAATAGTAAAGAACCAAGGACATGTCAGTCACAGGAGAGGAATATTAAGATGGATGTTGGGAGAAATAGAGCCAAGGCGGTGGGATCTGGGCAGCATTCTTTTATTATTTTTTTTTTCGTGTGAGAGACCATTCGGCTACTTGTGGCTTATTGTACCAGTCATAGATGATGGTGAATGTAGAGAAATTGGTGGAATGAAGATTGGCAGGGGAAATAGAAGTACTTTGAAAAAATCTGCCCTAGCCTCCACCACAAATCCCACGTGATGAGGCCTGGGAAATTAACACAGGATTTGCGTAGTTCAGAATAAGGGACAATGAATTCTGTGAGAAGAACGCAATGAGGTCGCGGGTGCCATGAAATGGTAATTTCTTCGGTCACTGAGCAGCTCTTTGTAGAGAGTCAGCACAATGAACTTGGTCCTGATGTATGTCATCAGTGTAGAATTTCGTACCTGTAGACAATAATGAATTTTGTGGCCGTAAACGTACAGGTAGGCGGTTATAACACACGGTGGAGATTTCTCTGCGGTCAGGGACCATGCAACAGTGCGTATCAATTCAAATTAAAATTTCCGTTGGTATAATCAAGCCTGTTAGCACATTTTTGCCGAGAGAAAATTTAGAGTTTCGTTCTAAGTCAAAACGTTTGCGCCAGGAGAAAAGGAGTGCCACGCATTGTACAGCGTATGTATAAATGAACCTCCCCCTTACTCACTCATGGAGCTGAACCCTTCTGGAAGAGCAGCCAATTCTGCAGCTACTCAAAAATTTCTCAGAATTTTATGGAACTCAAAGGTTCATTTTCGTGTTAACAAGAGCCCTCCACTGGTACCTATCCTGAGCCAGATCTATACAAACCATACCATCCCAGCCTCTCTCTCTAAGATCCATTCTAATATTGTCCACCCACCTACGCCTTGGTCTTCCTTGTGGTCTCTTTCCCCCTGGCTTTCCCACCAATATCTTATACGCATTCCTCGTCGCCCCCCATTCGTGCTACATGACCTGCCGACCTCATCTTCCTTGACTTGATCATACTAATTATACTTGGAGAAGAGTACAAGTTATGAAGCTCCTCATTATGCAGTTCTCTCCAGCAACAATATTGCATAGCGTTAGCAAAATTATGTATTCTTGTTCTAGTTTTGAAATGCGGTTTTGTTACGTCACATCAACTGTTTTGTGCTCACGCGGGTATATGTAGCTGCGTGATATCAAGGTTGGGCTGACACTTCGTGGCTTTCCATGATGTTTTAGTTTAGTGTGTTAGGTTATACTCCACAGATGGCGCTTAGTTTTTATTTCATTTTTTCTTCTTCACTCACGCCGATTTAGCTTCGGCTTAAGTGCTTAAATAGATGCATGATAGGAAGGCTAGGCTGACATTCAGTGACTTTCTATGAGGTTATATATAGTCTCGAGTGTTCAGGTTTTTTCTCCATGGATAACGCTAACCTTTTATTTCGCGCTGTTTTAGGTTGGTCTCAAGTGATTAATCTTTAATAGTGGAAGTACCGCGATCGAGCCAGTGATGACTATGATCGTTGTGGCCAAAATATCCCGTTTTGGGCAGTCCGGAACAGGGGGTGGCAACTGTTAAGGATGGAAACGTGGAAGCTGAAGGAATCAGAAGGGATGTCCGCTGTGTGTAAGGGGTACGTTTGTTATAAATGTGCTGCGACAGATCATCCCCATAAGTAAGAAATGGGTGATATGTAAATATGTATTCACAGAGACGGGTAAATTACTTAGTTACGTATAAATTTATATACGTGTATGTTTAGTTAATCTGCAGGTTATGAAAAATGGGAAATGTTTATAATGGTTGTGGAAATCTGTTTCTATCTCAGAATAGCACGATGAATTCAGTGGGTAATCAAAAATATTAAGAAATGCCAGGTTATATCTAGTTTTAGAGAAAGTCGCCTTATACCCATAAACGATCTTTGCGTGCAGCTGCAGTTTCCGTGACAGATGTATTCTAAATATTTTAGTTTCTGTACTATATAGGAGTGACATTTTAACTTTGTGTTTCACTGAAGACAGTTTAATCTCTGTTCTATAATATGTACACACCTTGCAAATCTTTTTACAGATGAACGTTAGGATGCATATTCATTGTCACAGTTTATTTCTTGGATTTCTGCAAATGCATGTGATTACACCCCCACACTTTCTTCTGACCCTGTTTCCATATCCACCTTGCAGTACACTTTATGATAATGAATTGTTGCCCCCCAAAAATATTTAGTTTTGTTATGAAAGTTGTTTTATGTACCCATAGATTGGAGAGTTACAAAGTACAGAAACGAAAGTGAGGGATCTTAATGTTGTCAGGAGATTGTACCAAATTTTTCACCAATTTAGAAAATAATAAAAAAAAAAAACTACAATCCAGTGACTAAGTAAATGGGAGAATTTCGATTTTATAGTGCACGCAAACTTTATCGAGCACATAAATGTCAGAAAAGGCCTCAGGATTGGTAACCGTACTCGTAAAGAAAAAAGTAAAGTCCCTCTGCTTAACTAAATAAGCACTACACCATGAAGGCGTATGGCGGAGTGGAACCCTTCTGATATTTTGGTAAAGTTTTCAGTTCCCATTTATTTTGATGTTTAAAGATCACTGTGCCATAGACCCAGAGGCATAATGTAACCCACAGCAAAAGTGTTCTCAAATTGTGGTCTTAGTTGTGACTCCACGTAGGCTTGCAGGAGGATACCAACATTTCAAGTGAACATTCTACCCTTATCATCAAAATTGAAATATTTAAGTTGGTTGTCTAAATTGCTTCTGGCCCTTGCCAGCACAGTAAATTTCAGTTTTGGGACCCATGACCATATTTTTGTTCCTTCCAAGACTTTACATGTTTTGAAATAGGGCCTGGCCTCTTCTGCAATGAGAGGAGGGGTCTGACTACTACTGTCACTCCCTCTCTACTGGGGGTGACTTGAGTGGGAACTTACTGCCTGGTGTGGCCAGGTTCTCTTTATATAACTCTGAGGCAGATGAAATAGAGAACACCACCTCCAAAAATTCCTCTTCTGTTGTGTTTGTGTTTATTGCCACGGGAACATATTCAGTGAGCCATTGCTTAGCAATAGACGCCTCTGCAACACTTTTCAGACTCCATAATTCTGCCTTTTAGGTGTCCCTGTCTCTATAGTAAAACTTTGCTGTTTGCTCACAAATCGTATATCTGTGTTTCCTGTGGTAACACTGAACCTGATTAGGTAATTCAATTCAATTTATTTTTGTTCATTAGATCTACATTTGGCGATGGCGCCTCCAGATATAGAACACATCAAAGCCCAAGTTACAATAAAATTAATCCAGAGGACATCATAAAGATATTACAACATATTTACAACCTTTGTTGCAATAACTATTGATACAATGATTGGGTTCCCCCCCCCCCATTGACACTACAGCCCCAGTGGACCTAGGCCTGCCGCCATGAAACTCTCTGTTTCACTTCGGTTTTTTTACTATATCTTAGACATATAGTAGGACTCCTTGGGCGGGTGATCAGCTCGTCGCAAGGTCTCTACCTGTACACAAACACAGAAAAACGCACAGAAACATCCATGCCCTGAGGGGATTCGAACCCACAATCCTGGCTTCTGAGCGAGTGAAGACAATGCATGCCTTAGACCGCTCTGCTACCGTGACCGGCACAATGATTGATACAATGTTATAATTAAATACAACATGCATATAACACTTGCATTGCAACTTATAATAAAATGCATATTAACATTGTCAATAATAGAGTAAAAGCATATCTAAAGAATTATAGGTATCCTACAATAAAAGTTTTAGAAATGACTAGTTTTGTTTTATTTATCTGTAATTAACACAATCATCCCTTGTTTTCCATTTATAATACTCATCTAAAGAATAAAAAGATCCCACCTGCAAAAAAATTTAATGAAATATTTGAATTTATTTAAATCTTGCGATAAATTTTTGTACTATGTGGTAATTTATTAAATATTCTAATCCCAGTGTAAGATACTCCCTTTTGAGCCCTGGTTGATTTATAAGTTGGATAATGTAGTTTGAATCTTTGTCTTGTATAAATGTTATGAATATCTGAATTTGCTACATACTTGTCCATGTTTTTAACTATGAGGACCGATATTGAAAATATATACTGTGAATAAAATGGAAGAATGTTTAATTTTTTAAATAGAGCCTGACAAGTGTCACTATTTCCTGCTTTCATTATTACCCTAATTATTCTTTTTTGAGTTTTAAATATTTGGGTACTATACATTGAATTTCCCCAGAATATTATGCCATAGGACATTATAGAATGAACATAGGCATTATACATCATCAGTAAGCTCTCTAGGGACAATATTGAGACTAGAACTCTTATAGCATAACGAGCCAAGCTCAATTTGCTGGCTGTTTGTTTGATATGTTCCTTCCGTGTTAAAGTACTATCAATTGTCAGTCCAAGGGATTTCAAAGTATTTGTATTATTAATTTGGATATCACCATGTTTAATATTTAAGTTTATTACTACATTTGTTTTTGTTAATAACTGGACACAACTCGTTCTAGTTAAATTCAAAATTAGCGAGTTTATAGGGAACCATTTATTGATTGATTCAAAACTTTATTTTAGGGCGATGTCAGGTTCTTTAAGATTTGACTTGCAGCACAGTATGCTGGTGTCATCAGCAAATAAAGTTTGTTTTGATTCTTTATTTACTATATTTGGCAAATCATTAATATATATCAAGAAGAGCAATGGCCCCAGAACGGAGCCCTGAGGGACGCCCTGTTTTACACTTTGCCACTCCAAAATTCCACTTGTAATATTGCTATTTAGTACTGTTCTTTGCTGTCTATCCGTCAAATAAGTTTTAATTAACTTTCCTGCTATAGCATTAAAGCCATAGAACTCTAGCTTAGCAATAAGTATTGTGTGATTTACACAATCAGGTGCTTTGGTCAAGTCACAGAACAGGCCTCCCACAACGAGTAATGGAATCGATGTGAATATTTGTGATAATTTGTCATCAAGTATAACTTGACTAGGATTGTGACTGTTTAGATGGTGAGTGGTATACAATCTGTTACATCCATTCCCATGGTTTAGTCTGATATGTCAAAGATTTTTCGAACAGGGCTTCTGATATGGTCTGGAACACAAATAATAATGATAATATCTATATGTCTACTATGAGGAGTGGCTCAGTTATATAGGCCAGTTGCAAGGTGGGTGATCTTGTGAACCCACAGGATGGAGTAAGGAAATGGAGCCTGATCTGGGGCAGTGGGGTCTGTAGGCAGGAAGAGGGCCTTTTTCAGGACTGTTGTTTTGCCCACAGGAGGGAAACTGGAACACTGAGAAAAGAAAGGAGCCGTTTCTGGGCCTTGCAGATAGGAAATTAGAAGAAAGTTATCAGTCCTCTTTTTTATTGAGGGCTCAGATTTTGTCACTGGAGGAGGTAACAGTCTTGACCTTGGAGAGAACCTTTTTCATCTTTTCCTGCAGGAAGGGAATAAGAGGCTTCTGTAATGTGCTTTGGGAGAATCTTTCCATCCTCTTCATGTTAAGATGGAGCTTGATCTCTGGTGCTTCCAGTATGGACAATTCCCTGTTCTAGGATTTCTTGGCCAGGATGTAGAATACAGTGATTCAAGTCAGCCCTGTATTCAGCTGCAGCCGACTTATCCATTTCATAAATTAGATGAGACAGTTGTGTTCATTAACTCTGGTCTCAAAGGAATGACAAGTTTGTCCAAGGCATACTCTCCCACACTCTCAGGCTCATATCAGTGGGTGAAGGATTATATAACTGTCAAAGTATACTGATTTAAAGACTGGTCTGGTAGGGTCAGGTTTTTGTACAGTGAACATTGTTAATTTCCTGATAATAGCACATGAATTATATTTTTCTTATAAACATGTTATATCTATATTGAGTTGTGCTTTAGGCCCAGTGAGAAGTTCATGTGTCCTGTACTATATTGTCACATATAGGTTTGGAATGGTGAATGGATTTATTGACCACTTACAGGTCATAACTACACATAACTATAACACTAGCTATTCCTGCACTTTACACAATCATGGCAATTTTTCCAGCTTGTAGTTGGTTCACTAGTAGTTGCCTGGTAATGGCTTCTAACAATGTCTAGTCCTCTGCTTCCGTTCTCATGTCCTCTCTGAACAGCAGCTCCCTTCCAATTGGACTTTTCTTGCTTCAGTTCTCCTTAGAACCTCTTTTCACGGACTGAGTAGGAAACACCATTTCCAGCAGTACCTCTGTTGTTGCATGTGTATCTATTGATGCAAGAACATGTTTACGAAGCCATTGCCTGAAAACGACTCTGGTATATTTGCTTATCTCGTGGTTGTTACATAGTAACGGCTCTACATGCTACAGTATGCTGTAGATGAATGAATGTTTATAAACTATTCAAAATGTGAAACTTAAATCTAGCCTTGTCTTATATGTTTTATTCTGCACTTGAGATTATTCTTTGTGTGTATGCAACATATTGTATGAGCACCTTCCTGCTACTCCATATCATATCCTATACAGGATTTGAGGTTCTTACAGCAGTGGTCATGAAGAGTTCTGTCTTCTGGGATATAACGCTGTGTAGGCAGTTGAAGTTCAGTGGACTACAAAGCATTGTATCCCAGATGATAGAACTCTTCACATCCTACATATTCTGCAATCTGCCATTCATTTATTTTGTTCTTATCTTATTTCTTTTGAATGACCCTAGTTGGTAGGAGGTAGCTCTTCAGTGTTCTTAACTGATGTGGTTTATTTTTCTTTAATTTTGCTGAGGAAAATAAATAGGAAATGGGAATCTCAGTAAATATTTCCCACATGGGGATTTTATATTTGTATTTGTTATGCTAAAACTAGTGTTATAATGACATTTGTATTTGAGACCAAGCAAGTTGGCTCAAGCAGTAGAACTTCTGACTTATATTCAGAAAGTGCTCAGTTTCGATCTTGACCAAGACACCAGGTATCATGACCGATTGCTCAAGTTGGCTCAAGCAGTAGAACTTCTGACTCATATTCGGAAAGTGCTCAGTTTCGATCTTGACCAAGACACCAGGTATCATGACCGATTGCTCAAGTTGGCTCAAGCAGTAGAACTTCTGACTCATATTCGGAAAGTGCTCAGTTTCGATCTTGACCAAGACACCAGGTATCATGACCGATTTTCAGTTGTCTTCCTCATTTTCTCCAGGTGAATGCCAGAAGAGTTCCTTAAATTGGACCTCAGCCACTTCTTTCAAAATCTTTTCCATTTCATTATTTATTATCATCCAATCATTTGATGCTGTACAATACAAGCCTCTGAGAGTCATTAAATAAACTACAAATATATATAATAAATTCATATTCAGTACATTCCAAGTTCACATTTCGGCATGGAGATCAGCTACCCTAATTGAAATTCTCATCCTTTTTCCCAGTCCCTTGATTCACATGCTGTCGCAGTACTTTAAAAAAAGCTACAACTGCTTTCTTTTGTGTCTTTTCCAGTTTATCACCTACAATCACCCAAACATTAAATGCTTTGTAACTTGTTGTAAAAGCCATTAAATAAGCAAGCATTATCCAGTCTTTGGACGTACAACATGTAATCTGTTTGGTTAAGCTCATAAGTAACAGCGTCTTTGATACTTTCATTCTGTGGAAAGAAGTTTTAGATTTATTGACTTATCTGCTTTATCAGGAGTCTAGAAGCAAGATTGATTAACATGGAACCACAACAGTTGAAATGGCAGAAGATTTCAGCTGAAGATCTGGACCTCGACTACACAGTGTTATTACCTCGATCTGTTGCCAGCCAGCTGCTCAAGCATCTGGAATCAGAGCTGGAGTATTTTAATGGTGATCTGGCTAGGGTACATGTGTATGGCAAGTGGCATGCCATTCCACGTCAGCAGGTATAATGATTTCATATACAATATAAAGTAGCCTTAATACCTTTATTATCCAAGTTAAGTAATTGTTTACACAAAAATGACACAGGATATGCTCAGGGCAAGGTCATTGCATTGAAGGCACACTTCACGTCTGTAGTTTTGCAAGCAACATGTTTACATCTCAGTTAACTGCACTGTGTTTGTAAGATGGAGCAAATTTATGAAGGTGGGAAGTATGTGATCTGTTACTCAGGTTGCTTTTGGGGACTCTGGTCTGAGCTACAAGTTCTCTGGAAACACTGTACCAGCCATGGCATGGCCTTCTTCCTTACTTCATGTGAGGGACATGCTTACCCAGGTGACTGGTTACTACTTCAATTTTGTACTTGTTAACAGGTTGGTTCTATAGATTCATGAATTGTAGCATAATCACGTAATAATTTGTGAAAATACCTGATCAAGTCATGCAAATGTAGAGATATCTCTATTATAGGTATCGAGATGGTAAGGATTATATTGCTGAACACAGAGACGATGAGAGAGAACTTGATCCAGCAGTGCCCATAGCATCTCTGTCACTTGGACAAGCTAGGGATTTTGTGTTCAAGCATCGTGATGCAAGGAAGCGTGGACCACAAAAGAAGGAGATTTTACCAGGTATAAAAGTCTCTTTAAGACATACCACCCCTTCTACTTCCATACACATAACCAAACATCCTTAAGTCTTTCATAACTGTGGCAAGGTGCAAATATTTGGAGCCAGCAGTAATAAATCAGAATTATAGAAAAGCACTTAAAAACAGGTTTCAGAAGGTGTATGTATTGGCTGTGTTCTAGTGCACTCAATTTCACTTGTCACTTCACCGCATGTTTCGGCATCACTGTGCCATCCTCAGGTGTGTTATTTACATTAAACTATTGCACTGCTCGCCATCATGTGTCATTTATGAAATTATTTAAAATGTGTGTTCTTCATTTACTATAATAAAATATATANTAGTGATGCCGAAACATGGAGTGAAGTGACAAGTGAGATCGAGTGCACTAGAACACAGCCAATACATACATATCATGGACGAGAATCAGTGCAACAGGATGCTAAAATACAACATTAGGTTTCAGAATCTTTGGTCTTCCTGTTTTGAACCATGCAGATTGTAAGGAACTGTAATTTTATCCGTTTACTGCGCTTATCAAACTTAGTCTGTTATCCTAAAGGAATAATATAGATTGAAGATGTTTGAAAACATGGTGCTGAGAGGAATATTTGGACCTGAGAGAAGGGGAGAGTAACTAGAGGCTGGAGAAGATTTGCATAATAAGGAGCTTAATAATCTGTGTTCCTCACCAGATGTTATCAAGGAAGATGAAATAGGTAGGTTATGTAGCATGCATTTAAAGTTTTGGTAGGACAACCTGAATGAAAAGAAGTGCTTAGAATGTATAGACATTAAAATGGAACTTAAAGAAATAGTGTGAGATGTGGACAGGAGTTGTCTGGCTCAGGGTAGGGTCTGGTTACAAGCAATTATGAATATGGTAATGAACCCTGGGGCTGAGTGAAGGGCATTCACCAAACAGTATGGCATTAGTGATAATGCTCTTCAGAAGGTGCTCTTTTGGAATCTCTGCTAGGACACCAGCCATCCTGACCAGTTTTTCATGCTTTTCCTCGGTCTCTCCAATCTGATGTCAAAATAATGTCTTAATTAATAACACAATTGCTTCCTTCCAGATCCTCATTCTTCAGCCATCCCAACAGTCAGTGATATATACTCTGGCTACTGACAGTGTCATAAAATAATCCACAAAATAAAATATGAAAGAAAGGCGCTGTGCTCCGTCGAGTTATTTGGTTAATAAATCACTGTAGATTCATTTATAAATACATACATAAAAATATTAAAATCAGAACCTTCTGATAGTAGTATGACCATCACACCTCTTTCAGTTGAGATTTATCAGTCTCATTAATTACAATGGAGGATTCACTGCCTAATTTGTTCCAAGGGTCAAAAACTTCTCTTTTCAATTTTACACTGTTTCAGAATTGTGGTTTTTTCCCCCCTCTCTTCTGTTTGCAGTGAAGTTACTGTTGGCACATGGGAGCCTCCTGTTGATGAATCCACCAACAAATAAACTGTGGTTTCATTCGCTGCCACGAAGAAAGAACTGTCCTGGTGTTAGGATCAATCTCACATTTCGGAAGGTGTTGAGAAACCCAGAGAAGTAAAATGCTGCAGTAGTAGTCAGATTGTATAAGTTACAGGCAACATCTGTGATATTAGGATAAACTGTTTACAAATCTGGAAGAATAGGCACTTGAAGTTGTACAGAATGGGGTAATAATAAATGAGCTGAAAACTAGAAACATAAAACAGTGAAATAGTCATAAACTTTGTAAACAATGACCTACTCTGTGGTAGTAGGTAATACTGTATAAAGTTATGGTGAAATGAATGGTGAAATAAGAATTGAAAACAAATTAGGGAAAAGTTTAAGGTGAGCCTTTAGAAGCTAAATTAAGAAAACCTGTATAGTACAAATGGGAAAAGTGAGAACCTGTTGATTAAGGTGACATCTTTGTTAGCTTATACAGTAATTTTTGCTATTTTTAGACAGGATTTATATTCTCACCTATAAAATTTATGTAATTAGCAGTAATGGTATCTGATATAGCCTTTTCAATTCAAGTCTTTAGTGATTCCCTTGAACTTGCCTTTGATGTGATCCACGAATATATGGACTTGTAAAATAAAAGTGAATTTTATTGTAACATTTATGAACTAAGATATGTGTTATTTTACACTTGTACTTCAGTAGTCCATATACTACACACTATAGGAACTAACGTGTAACTTGTGCATACATTTTACCATAATGGAGAGACTTGTAAGTGATTAATATTAGTGAATAAAAATAAAGTATTTGTGGTTTCTTATTGTACCATTATTTTTCATTTGATTCTGGTAAATTAGATGGCAGTAATATAATGTGATGTAGTGATAATGGTAGTGAGTGTAAAGTGTAAAAATCCTATACATTGAGGATGAGCACGTGTGGTTTTGTGTGTATGTGGAGCAGCTATAAAATAAACGGACTGATATTTTGCCGACTCCCTGTGACCTTGACAACAGTGAGTGGAGTGGCATATTAGCCTGTCCTCTCCATCAACCCTACACCTTCCAAGACCATATGGCCAACAGTGTGGTAGCAGCCTTTGTTTGAAGTGGACCATCTATCTGAGCTCCATCAGAATCATGTTACATGTTGAAGTAGAGCAACGTGTCAATGTGAAATTCCCCCGCAAAACTTGGAAAATCAGCTGCAGAAACATACATACAGTTTGTTGATGGAAGTTTATGGTGATGAATGTCTATCTCGTACTCAAGTTTTCGGGTGGTTCAAAAGATTTAAAGAGGGAAGGAGAGAAATCGAAGACAATCTGTGTCCTGGTTGGCCTTGCATGTCAAAAACAGATGCTAACATTGAAGAAGTTGGTGAAATTGTTCAAAAAAATTGTTTCCTGAGCATTCGAGCAGTTGCTGAATTAGCTAACATTGATAAAGAAAGTGTTTGACAGATTTTACATGAACATTTTAACATGAAAAAAGTGTGCTCAAAGATCATTCCAAGAATGCCAGTGCCTGAGCAAAAGGAAACTCAGATGAACATTTGTGCTGACATTCTTCAAAACATTGAAAATGGTCCAAATTTTTTAGGAAATGTGATAACTTGTGATGAATCATGTTTTTTCAGTATGACCCGGAAACTAAGTGCCAATCCATGCACTGGAAGAGCCCCAGGTCACCTAGAAATGAAAACCACATAAGAGCAAGTAAAATTTCAAAGCAATTATCTTTTATTTCTGATATTCAAGGTATTGTTCACATTGTTTGGGTGCCTGAAGGTCAGAGTGTTAACCAAGTGTAGTGTAAAGAGGTTTTGACAATCCTTCATGAATGGATGAGAAGAAAAAGACATGAAAGTGGAAGAAAGGCTCATGGATTCTTCACCATGACAATGTGCCTGGCACACCACTCACTATCTTGTCAAGACTTGTGGTGAAGCACAAGATCCCCGTGATGGAACATCCACCCTACCCACCTAACCTAGCCCCATGTGACTTTTCTTAATTTCCAGAGATTGAACTGCATTAAAAGGAACCCATTTTGAGTCCATAGATGAAGTGAAGGCAAAGGCAATGGTAATGAAGAAGCAGTCAGATGAAGACCTGCAGCATTGCTTCTGACAGTGGCAAATTCGCATGCAGCTGTGTAGGAATTGGAGAGGGGACCACTTTGAAGGTGATAACATTTCCATTGTGTTATTAATTTAATAACAGATTTTAAAGCATTAGTCCAGCTATTTTACAGCTGCTGCGTGTATAATATTTGCATACTATGGTGGTGTGTGTCGTGTGTGGTTTGATGGATGTGTGCATTTGTTTCTAATGTGGAATTTTTCGTTGAGCAGTGGGATCGATGTGGCTGGGTGACAGAGGGTGTTGTTAATGGCTTAATACTTGTAATGGTCTTCCTGCTTTTAGTTATCTATTGTGACAGAGTGTTCGTTTGATTATAATGTGGGCTGTAAAATGGAAAAAGAGAGGTAAAGTTGCCCCTGTGCTTAATTAATTAAGCACTGTGCCATGAAGACATGGGGGAGTAGAGATATAGCTCTACCATTCTTAACCCCGGAATTAGATGGACGTGAGTGGTGCGCTTCATGCTCTGGCCGCTTTAGTCCCAGGAAAGTCCGCCCCGGTACCATTCCAATATCAGTTTGCTAACTCTATTTCTGCACACCCATGTGCAGAAAGACACATTGGCAGCACTGCGGCAACTCCATATTTCTTCTCAAACATCAAGTGACATAATTCTTAATACAATGTCAGGTCTTTCTGTTTGCATGCTGACTTGTGGTGTGGTGCACATGCCGGTAGCCCCACAACACAGGGAGGAAAAGAAGAAAGTACTAGGAAGCTGTTTCTGTCACTCAGAAAGCACACAAATATTCCAAAAAGAGTGACAAACCTAGATGAATTCCGAAAAGATGTTTTAATCAGAACTGTTTTCGGATGTTATGATGAAGGTGAATTCCCTACTATAAAAAAATATAACACTTGCTGAATGGGCCCCAGATCCAGTATAGAGCTATGAAGAAGAGAAAAACCTTGCTCCTGCCAGAGTTTGAACCCCGGCCATCCAGCCATTGGCAGTCACTATAATGACTGAGCTCCTTAATGTGGAGTGTGACATTTGTGGCTGTGTAAATTGTAATTAGTATTAGTTTTACTCATGTCTCCAGTATGTGAGGGTGTGTGGTTATACTGTAGTAGGAGTCTTATCTCTTTGACATTTGAGACATGGCCGCTGATAGTATCTTGCTAGGCAGTATATACATTTTGTGTTGTCCAGCTCAAGTCTGCTCCTGAAGCTGCAAGTTTCAAAATCAAATACCATGTGCACTCTGACAGACATAGAACTCAGATGAAACACACATACTTAATGTGTAGGAAAAAACCACAGGTTTCTAGCTCAAATAGTTAGCATTTTAGGGCTTTTCACATTGTTCTTGTGTCATTGCTTATATACAGTTGCAATTTTTGATACCATTTCTTGGATGATACATTCAGAATACAATCTAGAACTGATTATATATTTGATAAAGCATAGTTTTGAGAAGGCTTGGTCATTTGTTTCCAGCTTTGTAAGCCGTCTGTGTCTTTTTAAAATAAGCCACACTGTCTCAGATAATGCAGGTGTTGCCCGTCTTCTTTTGTCTTTGTTTATCTTGTGCAGACTTCATGGAATCATGTCTTATTTAACATCACACCATCAAACCACCTCCTCTATAATGTGAACAGTGAGCCCAAGACCAGGAAAGTTCCCTGTGATTCAGGTGACATGTTAAGCTCTGTAGTTTTCTTTTCAGCATTTACTAATTACTATGAGTTGTTTTTAATACACTTAAATGTATAACAATATATATTTTGTATAAAGTTTCTGATTCAAAGTGTTTGAATACATGTCTCTTAGTAAGCAGAATGTGAGTGGTGTTAGGTGTTCTAGTGGTTAAGGTAACAATGTTTGTAAAATAGCTCATAATGTGTATGAGTTCTTTATAAAGTGTACCCGAAGAAAACAAAGGAGACAGAATTTCTCTGAATACCAGAACCCGACAGCTGAAGTGTTTTGTGTAAGCAAGTCAAAAGTTTCATGCATCTGCAGGGAGGAAAAGAAGAAAGTACTAGGAAGCTGTTTCTGTCACTCAGAAAGCACACAAATATTCCAAAAAGAGTGACAAACCTAGATGAATTCCGAAAAGATGTTTTAATCAGAACTGTTTTCGGATGTTATGATGAAGGTGAATTCCCTACTATAAAAAAATGTAACACTTGCTCTTAGGAAAAAAATTGTGTATAAAGGTTATGTTCATATTTCATTCATTCATTGTTACAAAATAGTCCAGTTCTGTTCATACGTGGTCCATTCCAATATCAGTTTGCTAACTCTATTTCTGCACACCCATGTGCAGAAAGACACATTGGCAGCACTGCGGCAACTCCATATTTCTTCTCAAACATCAAGTGACATAATTCTTAATACAATGTCAGGTCTTTCTGTTTGCATGCTGACTTGTGGTGTGGTGCACATGCCGGTAGCCCCACATTACAATTTTTTTCACTATTGCTCGAATACATCACTGAACAGATACTGTAAAACAAGTTACATGGTATATGTCTGTTGAGCATAATCTGGAGCCTCTTCTACAGTATTAAACACTATCATTCATGCTACATCTTACATCTAAATGCCACACGTGAGAAGTATGGCACAAATTCAAAGATGTGGCAGTTCCATTTATAAAACCTGTTCATATAGTTGTAAATAAACAGACAGAAGGGTCATTATAGGGGGAAAAAAAGAACCAAATCAAAATGCCAAGAATCTGGTGCTAGGCTTGAATATTTTCCTTGAAATTTCTCTCAACACCTTGCACAAGAGACCAGGGTTCTAAGTTTAAAGAGTGCTCTGTTACTGAAAAGCATTAATGTTAAGTTTTTATGGAGGTGCCAAGAATGTGTAACAGCAGTATGTATTTCAAGCATCATCCATGCTCTGGGTGTGGGGTTGTTGATTGAACTGTGGGTCCCAACATAAGGGGAAAGAGTTGACACAAGAAGCATGCCTCTTTTGCCAGATGGGTTGAACTGCTTGCTGCATGCCCTCAGATAATCTGCATGACACATTCAGATTAGGTTGTATTAAGAACTGGAATGAATATGGGAGGAAGCAGTTGCAGTGTGCATAGATATTTGCATAGGAAAACAAAGAAATGTCAACCCGGACAGTGGATGCTCTATTTTATTTCTACTAAATACATGGAAACTGATGTGGAACTCATGCTCCCTTGTAGCTGGTATGTGCGCTGGCAGACATCAAAAGTTGCATGTTTGCCAGCAGTTTGCCAAGGGCCTCGGACCCAAGAAAGACTGCGCTGGCAAGGACCAGCAGCATATACAAAAGACAGGCCCATCTTCTCATCAGAGAGGGCGCCCACAAAAAACAAGACCGTAACTGTCAAACAATAATAAAGATCTGGTCACAAGCCCCAAATGGGTGCATTATGCCAAGACAGACTGACTGACCTTTGGTCGTAAAATGAGACTGTCAGATGAAGTCAGTTAAGTCTAGTATTCGCCGAGTTAGTTGGATAGAGTGAATGGAATCGCAGAAACAGTAAAATTGATAATTATTCACTGAATCCAAGACCTACGTGGAGGTTATTCGTGGCGTTATGTAGGAGAGACGTGATAACTGGTTTCTCAGAAGCTTAGAAGTAGGTTGCCAGAGAAACGCGACAATATGTTTAACATGGAGATGTAACTTCGTGCGTAAATGTCTACTCCCGTTTCGCAATCACATCAAACCAAAATTCATACTTATCAATTTATATATAATCAACCCGCATATAATAGTGGTAATTCAAATTAAAGCGGGTAGTTCGTGCAAGGTAGGCGTCGCCCCAGCGTTAAAAATTTAAATTTAAAAAGAATGATGCCAAGATTTAAATTACTGTTTAAAATTATTATTCTTTCCCGTATGCTTTAAAGCGATCAGTAAAAAAAAAAGTATTATTGAACGGTCTGATCGTAACTTAATAGACAGATTTCCGGCAGCTTCCCGTCGGAAAAGATCCTGGTGGGATCCATGAAGGAGGCCAATAGCAGGTTCTGAAGCACTGGTTTCGGAAAATCCTGTAAAAGTAGACATGTGAAAAATATATTTCGATATTCACTGTTCGTCGAAATAAATTGTTGGTGGTGTTTGCTTTGCCATCTGCATGGTTTGAATGGGTTTATAGACTATATGCATGCATAAGGAAACTTGAAAGGACAGAATGGATTTTAAGTAATGACATGAGCCAAACAACCTATTGAATATATCTGACAACGTATATTGCTGTATATTCCATCATCACGATCATCACCGTCCATGGTCCGATCACTTTTTGTTCACCCAACTACATTACGCAGTTGTATGACAGCTTCGGTCAGCATAGCGACAATAGCGACGGAGTTAAAAGTAGCTACATTTCTGTACCGTTACGCCAGAATGAGCCAGATGTCAGCTTATGATTCTTATTATTAATATTAATTAAATCGACGCATCTGCCGTAGGTTATATATGTCGTATACCGGCTATTAATAACCTTCACATGTTCAAGGTAATATATGTGTAATCTTTTACAGTGAAAAGGGTATTTAAGGATGTGGATAGGTTATGGGCTGTACCGGCTGTACTGTCAGCAATGGTTTCAATATGCAGGTTCAGTGATTGCTGACATGGATTAAGTGTTTAGACCTAAATGATCATGCGTGCATGTTGTATTATGAGTGATTAAATAAACAATTAACGTTGCTTTTAGTATAGACAGAAACATGTATTCAAAAAAAAATCCCAGCCTTAGAATCAACGAGGCGGATCTAAAATGTAAAAACGGCTGTGGCTATTATGGGAATGAAGAGTGGGAAGGATTGTGTTCAAAGTGTCATCATGAACATCTTCAACGTGAAAGACTGAAGAAAACTGGTGGGCATTCTGGACTTCATCATGGAGAACGGTGAGCTAAAGAATACAAATATTCTTTCAAAAAACTGGACAGCTGTACAGATGAAGTATACCCAGTGTAATAATAAAATTGTCGTGTTAAGTTTGCTGCTGGGTATGAATTGCGGACGGTTGCGAAGTGTCTTAGAACAGTTGCCCTTAAGGTCATTATCCCCATTACCTGGAAAGGAAAATGTAATTGTTTTGTGGTAATAAAACCATTGGCAGTGTTCTGGAAAGCTTTGTTGCCATATTTCGGTTTAGTAGAGATGTTGCACATGTAAGACTCAACTGGTGCAAGAGCTGTACAGAGTAAATCATTACTTAAGCGTAGTCACTGAATGCTCTGCACATCAGTGTTACAGCTTGGTTGCAACCTATGTCCATAAAGTTACAGGAATGATGGTATACAAGCCAATACAATATACTTGTTCATTATTGCTGTACCCTGTCTTCACAATATTCTTCCCTGCATTGCTACATTATTCGTAGTGTTTCTGAAGATCATTGAAGTAGTGTCAGAAGTCGTTTTCTGGAACACTACAATTGAGCTATTAGCCTGTTACAGTGGTTTCATTTTTAGAGTAAGGTGGCATTTCAGTGCTTCTTTATATTTTTGAATGAACAGAAGTTACATGGAAAGAGACTTGGGAAATATGCATGTGTCAGTCTAGTTACTTGATTTTTTTAGCAGAAATCTTATATAAACAATGTGCAGCCTCACATTGTGCTGGAGAAACCACTTTACTGATGCCAGTTCAGGATGACAGCAAGGAATGTTCTAATGTAAATACTATGGAACATGTATTTGTGTTGCTAGATTCTAAAGGGTTCTGACAATGGTGTATAATACACAGAATTACTGGGTTTGGGGGTTTTTTTCCATTGCTGTGTATTCTAAAGAATAGAAAACGCGACGTTTTTTTAAACTGGACCTGGACAATGTGTTTTCTATATTCTGGAATACTGTACGATGGAAAAAATCCCAAATCCAAGCAATTCTGTCTATTTTTTGTGTTACAAAGCGCACACACTGTCCACCAGTTACAATCAATAATTTACAAATCCCAATACAGACAGAAGTAAAATACCTCGGCCTATACCTAGACCAGAAGCTAACTTGGCAGAAGCACATCAAGACAAAACGCCAACATCTAAACCTAAAAGTATCACAAATGTCATGGCTCTTAGGACAAAAATCCAAACTCAGCCTAGAAAACAAGACTCTAATTTACAAACGCGTATCGAAACCGATTTGGACATACGGAGCTCAACTGTGGGGGTGTGCTAAGCCTTTGAACACCAAAATAATTCAAAGACTCCAATCAAATGTACTGCGCTCCATAACCAATGCCCCATGGTATGTCTCGAACTTCACATTACACGATAAATGATATAAACTCCGTCTCAAGTGCAAACAGTATATTTTGTGTCTTTGATCTTGCTCCCTACACTACATGTTTCGGCCTCAGACGGCCATCATCAGGTGTATAACACTCACGTCGCTGTCACACTGCACCCAGTTCAAAATTTAACATCTACAACACTCTCCCTGTCATTATCAACCTCTACTTCGTTGATAGCTGTCCACCCGTAGATTACTTCACACACGTTAATTTTGAGTTTATTGTAATAGCACCATAATAAAATCTTTAGTTCTAATTTTAAACCTTTAAATTCTTGTCCAAATTTCAAAATTTTAAAATTGTTAGGGTTATTCGCCCTGTGTTTGAAGTGCTGCAGCGGCTAGTTCTTGTTTCCACACTGTATAGGTGTTATCTGGTGTAGTCTTTCTGTGTGCGTGCTGCTGCTATTCTTTACTATGTGTGCTCACGTGCTATGTGTGCTCCATTTATCGTATGGAGTGCAACAGGATGCTTAAATATAATATTGTTCACATTACACAATGATCTTCAAATCCCATTCGTCACAAAGAAATCAAAAGATATTCTATCATATACCACAACCGACTAATAGGACACGAAAACAGCTGCGTAACTGAACTAAGCAACCCATTAAACATCAGACAAAGACTAAAATGACAATGGCCCTCAGACTTAAAAGAACACAGTGTTGAAGATGGGTAGCCATACTCAACGACATAATGCATAGTATACTTACATAGGAGAATCATCACTGGATGATCACTCCGCACAAGTGATTTCTTACAACATAGTTACTTAATGTTCCCTTGTAGAGTAGATTGTAAATTGCAAGAAATAATAATAATAATAAAAAAAAATTGTGTTTGTTAACACCATGTCCATGAGGAACAAATTCCTTGAGAGCCATACAATTGAAATACAGAATCTATATTGCCTTTGTTTTAGATGGGTGGGTATGAATTTCTTTTTTTTTTTTTCTCTTTCACTCTGCATTGTGCCATTTTGTTTGAGCTTCACATTGCAGACACAGTTTCTTTTTTTGTAAAAGTTGAGGAATTCACTGTGTCTTCATTTGCTTGCAGTTTCAAACAGGCCGTTTCTGCCCTTGTGTTAGCTTCTGCATTCCACGTTTGCATTTGCTTTCCTTTTGGAAAGACCTCAAGTCAAAATTTCATGATAGAGTGTTTGCTTATATTAGACTTATTTATCAGCATCTGACAGTGATGTTATGATTTTCTTGTAAATGTTGCCAGACCCAGTCAGCACTTTGAGCAGCATATAAGGCAGACAGCTCACCTGAACTGGCACTATTCTCAAACTGTCTCAATCTCTTAAATTGACTCTACTATAATATGTATGAATGTGACATCATCATATGCTTGCAGTGAGACTTGAAGATGGTTTGAGAATCTAGTAACCAAATAGACACTTTGATGCCTTGCTGTCACTTTCAACTCCAATCAGTATGAAGATTAATTTGTTTCTGTTGTATTATTTGTCCTAAATAGTCACAGGCAAGGCATAATGTACTGGGGGGAACAGTGAATGTAAGAACAGATTGGTATGGCCAGCTAATAATGTTGATCTAATTCTTTGGATGTGGCTAACATTTCTCTTTGCCACAGGTGAGATTTCCACAACTTCCAGATTTGAGCTGGGCAATTAATTGCCAATGACCAGGCAGTCAAATTTTACAGCCCTTGCTTGCAGTAACATATATGCCCAATAGCACTTTTATTCAGCTTAAATCAAAGTGTAATGTTCAATCCTAATGTGTACGTGAAATCGGTATATGACCTTTAGAAGTGGATCTCATCCTTTTTGGTATGGCAACCATAAGTTGAAATGTACTTGGTATGTTGACGCATTGATTTGTTGTCACATGAATTTTGGGGTATAGATCTTTAGTAGCCATTGGCTTCATGCATTTTAATTGCATGTTTGCCTGTTTTATAGCCATTACTATAGGCAACCAGACAAAGATTTACCTAATGTGTGCATTAATGTGGAATTTGTTGAAATAGCTTTTAAAAAGTTATTCATTATTTTGTTTATGGAATGCAGGAATACCATCTGAATTCAGTGTTAGTTCTAATTAACAAAGTACAGGGAATATTTGTAGTAACTTGATGAGTTCATGGATCTGTGCTTCACAACAACTGGTGCACTGCTTGCTGCGAGATGTGTGCAAATTTTGCTGATGAATCGGCATGCCTGACGGCCAGTAATGTTTGGAGTGAAGAAGTTACAATTCATAGATCATGGGAGGTGTTGAAAATGCTGTCCTTTCTACATGTAGATATTTTTCGCAATTAACTGTTTCATTAAAAACACAGACACAACAATCTTTCTTGCACTTACAGCACACCAAACACCAACTGTCACTGGATTGCTTCAGCGGTTGTGTTGCAGTTCTTGCACTAGGCTTTGACACCCCAGTCTCTTGAACTAGACATTTCAGTGATTTTTCTAGGTGTATGTTCAAGTCTGGCCCCTATATCATCTACCTTCCCCTCAGTAAGCACTCAATGCTTATGTTTTTGTTTCTTATCCATTAAGAGTCCCATTGTTCCAAGTATATTCAGCAAATTATGAATTGTTTGTATGCTGGGAACTCTTTCATCATGAAATTTACATTAAAATTTTCTCCGACACTTTCTAGCAGATCCATATTTCATGTAGCTGTCATACAAAAATACGTGCTACTCTAAAGTATACCACACCATGACGGAATGTGCCGCTCACTAATTGTAACTGAGAACAAATGGCTAATGGAGCTGATAACAGAGTGGATAACTGCTGCCTATTGCTGACAAATCCTATACTCTCTGCATATGTAAAGGCCGTACCATAGCTCAGGTGGTTAGTGACTTGTTTGCCACCACACCAGCCTGGGTTCATAAGCTGCTCCTTCCCTTCCACTGCCTTATGAACCTTGTGACAAACAGTTAACAGATGTGCTTCCAGCCACCAGTGAGTGATTCCCAAGTGCTAAAATGTAAGAATCAAGTCTTTCTTACATTTAGTTACACACGTCAACAGCATTGTCATTTGCCAACAGGTTATTCTGCATACCATTTAAGGGTTAAAACCATGCTTAATGATCCATGGCTCGTGAAATGCTGACCTACAATATATTGAAAAAGATCAGTTTTAACTTTGTGGTCAGAGGTCATATTTGTACTGTCATTTGTTTAGCTTACCACCAGAAGACTTAAGGGGTTAACAGCTATAAGGGGGATTCTTTTTGCACGTATTCTTTGAATAAAAACTGTTGTGTCTGTTCTAAGTCTTTTTTTAATAACAGTTAATAATAACTCTGATATGTTATGTTTATAGTGATGGAGATAAACACACAAAGTCTGCTGTTGGGTTTTCCAAATTTGAAGAGAAAAAGCGGCAGCAAGCTGAGAAGAAGACAAAACTACTGAAATTGTCTGTATTTAGAAAATCTTCAAATTCAAAAGGTACTTAGTTTTGTGAAGTCACACTTTTGCAATTTTTATAGTGATTTGCAGTACACACTCCATAAAGCAAGTAAAGGTATCCCTGTAAGAGGCCATGAAGGCCCATAGGGTTGTGAGGCGTTGAGGGTCCCCACATTATCTAGACAATCGGTTCAAAGATGGTGGTAAGGTTGTCAGTCTTACGCACTGGCCTCGCTTTACTCCCCAGGAAAATTATTTAATTAATTCCTGGTACTCATTTCTGTTAGAGGCTGAGTCAACTCCAGGGCCACAGTGTGGCTGGAAGAATTAGGTCAATTGAAAAAATCCAGTGACCTCATTGGGACTTGAACCCACGACCTTTTGGCTTGTAGCATAGCCCCTCAACCAACTACGCTACCGTGTGCCCCCAGTACACACTCCATAGAATAGAATATTCTTTGAAGAACATTACTTCTCTTCATGTCTTCTACTGTTACATTTTATGGCAGTAGTGACAGAAATGTGTACAGCTGAAAAGCAAAGCACATTCTGTTCTCTGTGAAGAGCATGTTTTTCTTTTTCAAATTTGGACCATCTCTGCTGCACTAAAATTAGTTATAATATATGTACATGTATCAGAAAGCTCAGTGATGGCATGTCTGACTTGCATCTGGAAAGTACCTAATTAAGTCCTGTGTCAGGAAGAGCTGTCCTCACTGAGGTCTTTCATAGCTTTTTTTTTTATTCTTTTAAGGAAAATTCTGTGGAAACAAATGTGTGGGAGAGAAGAACTGTGCAAGTAAATGTGACCAATGAGATCAGAGATGTTTGTGGAGGTGAATATGAGGATTACTGCATTCTGGGATGTGACACTGTGTTGTCTGGTAGAAAGGTACCAGCATCCCAGTGGAATTTGCTACCTCTGTCTTGAGGATAAAAGAGTGCCCTAAAGATAGGGGCAACAGACACCCCTGAAATGTTGATATTCTTATACCAGACTACGTAGTATCAACTGTGGCAAGGTTCTCCCCTTTCTAGAAAATTTCTTCTCAAGGAAGTGTGTACATGACTTTACTTCGGTGATTAGAAACTCTCCTGAGTTGGGAGAGAAAGCATTGAACCACTGAAGCAGTGTCCGGCAGATAATCCATTCTCACAATAAATGGTTTCAATTTAGAATTGATATAGGATACAGTACCGCTTACATCTAACCAGCAGGTGGAAATAGTTACTCATATATAATTATAAATAAATACTAATCTGAAAATTGTGTCTTCTTTTTAGATGCATAAAAAATTGTGACTTTTAAACAGCATAATTTTGTTAAAATTTTAAAATTTCAGATTTAATCCGATCTGAGCAGTTTCAAGAACTCTACAGTGCAACTCCTGAATTGGAAAAGTTGAAACAAGATTACCAAGATTTATTTTCATCTGTCAGCCAGTCTGTTGAACGTGATGTCCTCAAATCCATCAATTCATTTAATGTTAATGTCTTAAAAAATGCAGATATTGGTACTATAGACGAATTATCTGAAGTGGTACAAAATTTATATCAGGTCTTTGCAAAGCGAATGGAAGCCAGCATTATTTATACTGGTAAAGTTGTGAATTATTGATTAATATATGTGTGGTGTATTTCTGATTTTGTTCCTGTTCATTAATTATAAGATGTAATAAGGAGACTACAAACCAGAAATTACTGTAATTAGCAAAGAGAAGCAAGTCTGAACTATTATCACTTGTTAGTGACTAGACACAGGGTTTGATAGGTAATTGGATTTACTGAACACTTATTCCAAACACTAAGGCTTCTATGACTTCACCAGGCATTGCTGGGTAGTGGATCCCAACGTTAGGTATTCCTCTTCCTCCATTCTCACATTCTTGCTCACAGCTAACCCCTGGCTAAAATTTTTGACCTGTTTTCTTACTGGCATGTCCAGTTTTCTTCCTTATATATCCTCGACATGGACTGCATAGGAAACACCATTTTCCACAGCTCCCCTCTCTTTATATGTTGACTCTCTGACAGTTCCTATATTGTTGCATGGTGACGCGTTGCTGCAGAAACATGTTTTGGTTGCTGTTGCTTAGCAAGCTGTCTGTTTTGGCTGTCATGTCACTTGATAAATTGCATCCTTGTGTGTGTATATAGTATTTAATTTCTAACATTACAACCGTCAACACAACAAACAGTGTGCGGATATCTTCAATAAAGGCAATAGATGTTGGTATATGTCTTACCTGTTTAATGTAAACGTAACTTATGCAACCACATAAATATCAACAAGGAGCAACATTGTGACCTGCACTTCAGAAACATCCATGCTTCCATGCTAATCCAGGAAAGCAGTGAGAAGCAGCAAGAAATCACAGTCAAATTTTACACAATAAGTTACTATATAAGAACTGCACGATAACAAGCATGAAATAGTACAAAGACCCCCTCCCCCTCCAGCACATTGTTACATCTCTGAGAAAGGTTGCATATGCCTAAGCACAATATATATAGCCAGAATTTTAAATACATTGTGCAATTAATACTTTTATACCATTGTTTTATCTATAACAAGGAGTCTTATAATATGTACTCAGAACGAAATATTGTTAGGGTGATCATATCAAAGAAGATGAGATGGGCAGGATATGTACCATTCATTGAAGAGGCGAGGGTTTCATGTCAAATTTTAGTCTAACCCCGAAAAGAAAACACCACTTACCGGACTGAGTGTGTAGAATGGAAGAGTGTGTGAGGTTTGAGGTTTTCATGGAAGTGACTGTGAAGACCAAAGTCTTCTGGGATGTTATGCTGTGTAGTCTGGTAGATGTTTCAGACAAATGTGCAGTGTCTATCTTCATGGCTTGAAGAATAAGCTAAGCAAGTAATCAGCAAGAAGCAGGTGGCAAGCAGAGCACTAGTATTTGGCTTACTCTTTGACCTTGAAGATTGAGGTAATGCTTTCCTCTGAAATATTAATAAACATATACCAGACTAGATGGGGTAACATCCCAGATGATAGTACTCTACAGACAGGAGAATTGACCTTATTTAGGGTGTGGAGAGGATTCATCTGAGTTTGAATGTGGTCCAGTGGTAGGGTCCTATAAACACAGAAATGAACCTTATCATCATTTACAAGCGAGAAAAGTTTTGGGGATAAAGTAAGTGGAAGTGAGCGTGGTAAACATTGTATAGGCCTAACAGGGAAGGATTTTTTTCTTTTCTTTTTTTGCCTGAATGGGTGTGGTGATGTAGCAGCATTGTGAAATAACGTGATTTGTGCTACGTAGCAAAAGTAAACTTTCAAAAATATATTTAAATTCTTAGCACTATTACAATATATGAGCAAATGCTTCTGTCTTTAGTTCTGGTTTTGAAACATGCTTCCTCTCGCAGTTTTAAATTTATTGGTGTGAGATCATTTCCTTTGTAGGTGAACTTCTTATGCTATTTCAGTGTTACGTTTTGTCTATGTAAAATTTTAATTAGGTTAAAATTCAGATACATTTTGCACATCAGAATGTAAAATGTGCAGTGGCATAATGCAGCAGAGTATTGGCAAAGCATAGGGTTTTAAGTCAATTGGTCTGCCGATGTGAGTACACTCTACAATGAAGTGTTGCAGTAACGCAGCAAATGATACCTTCACTACATCTTATTTCACATTTAAAGGTAACATTTTTCTTGTATCCAGTATGTAGGGTATCTTGCATTGCAGGTAATATGAACCTGAAAGTGTGTCTACGAACATTAAACCATGGTTGCATTTTCATTCATACGGTATATTTATTTATTTTCCAGACTTAAGTCAGGAGAAAAAGGAAATGCTGCTAGACTTTGTTGAGAAATATGTGATGACTGGTCTGTATAGAATTCTGTTCTGTCCCCCCTCAACAACAGATGAAGACAAAGATCTGTCTTTACAAAATAGGTAAGTTTGTACCTATCCATGAAACAACCATGCTTTAATTCTTAAATTTAGGAACAGTCATCAGTTTAGAGTTATATTTTTAATTTATCATTTCCCATTCCTTTTATAGGATTCGACAGTTGAATTGGGTGAATGCACAGCATTTAGACTGTAGCATTAATGAGACACAGTCAGAAGTCTGTGACTTGGTATATACAGCAATTGCAGGTACGCCGTTTATTTCTTGCCTGGTAAGAACTGTATGTGTCCTTCAATTCTGAACCCAAAGCTTTTAGCCCATAACCTTAATCTACAAATTCAGAATTTAAACAGTTCAGGGTAAGAATATGCCTGCTTTTCTATAAATCTTACATTGTTGTGGAGAATATGGTAGGATGAACATACAGAGAGAGGATGCAAGATATAATATATTTGCATGTGCATGGACCTTTCCTCCCTGCCTCTTATATTCAATTCTCATATTTTAAGCTTTAATATGCATCCTTTGGTAGCAACTGCTACTTTTTCTGAGGATACTGTTGCTTGTGGGAGGTGAAGGTGAAAGAGGCTTGCATTGAACTTCTGTGCTTCAGGAAACAGAACTAAAGATATTTCAAATGTACTAACTGCCAAATGCTCAGAATTATCAGTGACAGTTTTATCCCATACAGTGACCGATGGCAGGAAGGTTGACATCTCAGTGGACCTCCAAATCATCCCCTTCAAATTTAAACCATGTTCTTGTGTTATCTAGTTTTCAGTCAGAACCAAAGTTGATTAATTGCAGTGGGTTACAAGCTCTGGCAATTCAGTCTTTCCCACACTTTCTTGAGGTTACAGTGTGTCAGGGTGATGCTGTTTACCTTCTTCATCCTTCATCTGGCACAGGGATAACTATATCTTCATCCTGCCTTTACGTGCATATGTGGTCTGATAATAAAGTTCGTGAACTCACCACCATGTGCTCATCTTGGCAGCAGTAGACAGTATGGTTTGATGTTGGCATATCAGTGTTTCACAGCTGTGTTTTTGTTGATCTATGGCACTCTCTTCCTGAATGGCATCTATTATTGTCTGAATGTGTTTTGTTGTGCTATTACAAGAATGCCAGAGCTTGTTAAACTTGGCAAGAGTGGAAGTGAAATCAGAGAGATATTCGTGCAAGTTTACGGAGATAATGCCGTGTGTGAAACAGCAGTTTACAATTGGGTAATATGTTTGTCTGAGAGAAGAGAAAGTGTCACTGACAAAGAGACATTAAGACGGCCGACAACGAGTAGAACTGAAGAAAACGTTGCAAAATTAGCCACATTGTGCATGAAAATTGTCAGCTGACTGTCAGAACCATAGCAGAGCAAGCAAACATCGACAGAGAAACAGTTAGGAAAATCTTAACTAAGATCTTGACATGAGGAAGGTGTGTGCAAAAATGGTCCCAAAGGAGCTCACCAAAGAGCACTGTGTGAGAGAGTTTTTAGGTAGGAAACAAATAGCTGTGCTGGAATACCCACCCTATTCACCAGATCTAGCCTTCAATAACTTTTTTCTTTTCCCTAAGATAAAGGAGGTATTGAGAGGAAGGTATTTTGATGAGATTGATGACATCAGGAGTAATACACAGCAGCTCTGAAGGCCATTCCATAAAACCAGTTCCAAAATTGTTTTGAAGGGTGGACTAGGCATTGGCATCGGTGCATAGCTTCCCAAGGGGGGTACTTTGAAGGCAACCATAGTGATATTCAGCAATGAAGTGTGTAGCAGTTTTACCGTGTTGAGTTCATGAACTTTATTGTCAGGTCACGTACATAGCATGTGGGTGGTACTGTTGCATAATTTTCTTCCAGATATAATAGGTATGGACTCAGCGAAGGCTCCACAGGATAAGTTGAGCTGTATTGTGCGGTGCTGTAGAAACATTTTCCTGCTACTGCAACAGTCTGTGGGCGGACCGGCTTCTGCTGATGAATTTCTGCCAGCTCTTATCTTCATTGTATTGAAAGCTAACCCAGCTAGACTTAAAAGTAATATCAACTATATTACTCGTTTCTGCAATGCAAGCCGTCTTATGTCAGGCGAGGGAGGCTACTATTTCACTAATCTGGTGAGATCATATATACTTGTATTAAGAGACTGGTTTAGTAAGCTAACTAGGCCATGCCATAACATGGTAGTTAGTTGCCAGCAGCCTGAATGCGGTCCCAGGGCAGACTGTGGGGATTTGTGGTGGATAACATGGTACCGGGGCAGGAATTCTGATTTCTTAAGTTTTCCATGCAGTTCATTCTGTCAGTTGCTCCACACTCAAAATCATTGACATCATCCAGGGCTCGTACTGTAAGCCCACTGGCATAATAGTGTATGTACCAAGTAGACTCAGTCTCACCCCACCCCACAAATAAAAATAGAAGCAAACTAAACCGCATTTTTGTTGTTCTGGGTATGTGTCACATAAATAAATAAATAAATACACGCACACACTTAACCTCTTATTATCCTAGTATACCTTTACAGTTATCTGTGAAGAAGTGACAATATGGTTGTAGACTGGTTGGTTAGGGTTCAGTTCCAGCCAATGGCTTTAGAAATCACCTCTTTATTACTGCATTTAAAATGGATAAAGGTACCTCTTTGTTTCCTGTCAGCTGAGTCCAGTGGTCTTTTTATCTGGGGTAAAAATTGGCTGGATCATGAAGCTGAACTCATCTCCATTTGCTGTTGGGTGTGTAACTTTCCTCCATACCCCCAGTATGTGTGTGATGTGTTGCTTAAAGACAGGAGTAACTTACCTTATTGAATTATTTTCCTTATTGCAGCTTATGGTATCGTGTTTGTGCTCACTTAATAACTTTAAAACGGGGGATTTTTATGATACACTATATGCACATCATGTTGTTGGAGACACTTGCTTTACCTTTATAAATATCAGTTCTCTACTCTCTCTTATATTACTGTGGAGGCTGTGGTAATATTCATGAATGTTTTTAATGGCAGGTGTTGAAATTTTGTGTAAAGCTATTCCTGTAACAGGCCATGGAGGTCAACAGGGTTGTGAGACGTTGAGGCTCACTCATTTTCTAGACAATCGACTGACATGTGGCAGTGAGGTTGTGAGCCTTATGCACTGGCTGTCCTTTATCCCCAAGAAAATTTCTGGTACTCCTTCGAGTTATGGGCTGAGTCAACCCCAGGGCTGTAGTGATTAGGTCAATTGAATAAATAATCCAGTGACCTCATTGGGAATCGAAGCCACGACCTAGATTGTAGCATATTGCCTCAACCAGCTAAGCTACCACATAACCCATTGCAATTTTATGTGGGAATTTTAAAGAAATATGCACTTCTGTTAAGATCAGGTTTTTTTTCTTTTTTTTTTTTCCTTTGGCGGGGCATAAGTAGCGTTGTAAGTAAGATTTTAGGCTCTCATGGCAATGAATGTTAAGATTGTAGGTCTCTTCTCTGAGATGTAATGCCATGCAGTCTGGTAGTGTGCCTCGAGTATATTCCTTTGAAATGGTATCTGCGTACTAGACTGCATGATGTCACATTCCTGAAGACCATCACACTTAAGTGGTAAGACCATGTTAAAATTTCACTGTGCATTGAAGAATTTGTAATAATGGATATCCACATTGTCTTTCATCATGCCAGGTTTCCTCCTGCTGGTCACACAAGTACACAGAACACTTACTTTAAATAAAGGAACCTACTTTGCTGCTGTGGTAACTTGTTTTGGAGTCTCTGTATAAATTGCATAAAATGAGTATATAGTTGGGAGGTTATGTTTTTCTGCCCATCCCAAATTTCTGTTTTTAAACTCTGATGAAATTTTGTATTTGGATTCTACACTAAATCTTTTCAGCAGGGAAATTTGATTTTTATATCCACTGATCAATTGCAGCTTCCACTTTATGTCAGATCCAAATTGAGCTGCATAAATTTCTTTGAATACAAAATTATGTAAAATGTATCAGATTTGAGGTTGTCATGGCAGTAACTATGAAGAATACTGTCTTACTGTGTAGTCTGGTAGATTGTTGCTGATGTCTAGGAGGAATGTCATTGAACGTCTACCAGACTACTATTCCAGAAGACAGGTCTCATTAAGAGCTATGACTTCTGTTTGTAACCACTTTTGATGGGAATATCTAATGAAATATGAGAAGAAATGGCCACCTCTGTGGTCTAGTCAACAGAGTCCCTGGCTACAGATCCAGAGGTCCCGGGTTCGATTACCGGCGCTACCAGATTTTCTGAGAAGTAGTGGGTCTGGGATGGGGTCCACTCAGCCTTGTGAGGATAATTGAGGAGGTACTTGAATGGAAAAATAGCGGCTCCGGTCTAGAAAACGGAGATTAATGGCCTTAAGAATCCATTATGCTGACCATGCAACACCCTCTATCCACAAAAGTTGGCACTAAGTTCGCTGACATGCGGCGGTTACTCAGTCAGTATAGTTCGCTTGCGGACTAAAAGCCACGGAGTTTAGATTAGTTTATGAGATGTAATCATTTTTCACCCTGTACGTTAACTATGTTAACATTGTTAATGCATCTGCATATGAAGATAAGTGGGGTATACAGAATAGCAAATCATACATTTGGGAACTGTATGTAATTCCTTGAAGTGGCCCTTTCCTGTCCTCTTGTTTGCCCAAAGGGACTTCACATAGTCAGTTTCGGGTAAAGTCTCACATGTTCTTATTCTGTTGTGTGCAGTGTTGTGCAGTTTCATTCATAGAAAACTTGACAGCAGAATCACTCAACATGCCGGTTGAAGAGTTTGAACAGTACATGTCAGGGGAAGTGATTCCCACCAGTACTTGGGAATCAGCTTTAATGATGTGTGAGGTATGTTATACAATGTATGTATTTTTTGATGCTGTGAGTATCTAGACTATATAATATAAGCATTTTTTTTTAAATTATTGTGTAGTAGTTTAGTTAATGTTGTGAGCCAGGATAGCAGTCGGTATAGCAATTGGCTATGGGCTAGACAGCCGAGGGGTTGGAGTGCAAGTACCAGTAGGGGCAAGATTTTTCTCCTCTCCATATTGTCCAGACTGGTTCTGGGGCTCACGCAATTTCTTATTCAGTAGACACTGGAGGCTTCTTCATCTAGGGTAAATTGACCAGGGCATGAAGCTGACCACTAACCTCCAACTAGTGCTGTGGTCAAGAATAAATATACCTATACATATGCATTCATGGCATGGTGCTTAATTAGTTAAGCACAGGGACAACTTTACGTGTTTAACGATGTTGTCACTAATGAGATTGTATACCATTAGATGATGAAAGTGAAAGTTCAGCACAGGCTACATAAAAGCCGATTATTATGCCTGATCCTGGGTTAGCTCAATCCAATCTACATTACTTACTTACTTATGGAGCTGAGCCCTTCTAGAGGAGAAGTCAAATCTGGAGCTACTCAAGAATTTCCCAGCATTTTATGGAACCCAAAGGTTGAATTACTGTGTTCACAAGAGCCCTCCACTGGTCCCTATCTTGAACCAGATCAGCCCAATCCATACAATCCCATCCTATCTCTCTAAGATCCATTTTAATATTGTCCACCCTCCATTAGATGATAACATGAATAATAAGTGATTAGTTGGAAAGGATTTGGATGGAAGCAATCATGATCTAATCAGGATACTATCCCAGCATTTGGCTGGTGAGACAGGGAGAAATAACAAGAAACTTCACTCTGGATATCTTGGATTCTGGCCAGGATTTGAACCAAGCACATCCTGAACACAAGACTACAGCACTACTGCTAGACCACTTTGTCTGGTAACCTCAGTAGTAGACCAAGTGGGCGCACTAAACCAGGAAAAGAGAAGAGGCAAGTGACTAATATTTTGCATTGTTGGGAGACAGCATATGATCACAACCATATGTAATATTGAAGTGAAAAAGTGTTTGTAACGCATAGGTGCTTATGGGACTGATGATCAGGGATCTGACTACCATAAGAGGTGGATGACTAGATGAATTGATGGGGACTGGTTGCAAGTTGTCTGGAACTGGGACCAAGAATATTGTTGAAAAAAACAAGAAATGCTTATGCTGGTTGCTTTTAGAGGTCATTTGACACTGTATGTCACATCTGTGATCCATACTATAATTCCTGACCTTGTGGTCATACCTGGTGGAATGGATTCATAACTAAATATTCTAGTGAATAAGCCTTTAAATCTATTGTATTCTGAATGGCTCTTGGCATGGGACCATTTTTTGACACCACTGGAACAGTATAAATGTCCGGTGTGTAACTTCTGTGCCAGTGGGTTGAGACAGTGGGAAGAGATCTCTCCAGAAATACTGTATGTCTGATGAAATTCGTAAAATGTAAGCTTAGTGGGACGTTGAGAATGTTTGCAGTGAGCAGTGAATGTGAGACACAACACAGGAATTGTGAAGATACTGAAGGTGAGACAGATCATAGGAATGGCGAGAACAGCAAGACTGACTGGTGAAGTTGAATAAAAACTGGTGACTTCAAGAAGGCAACTAATTCAGTAAATTTCATGTATATGTTTTCTAACATCTATTTTCTTTCACATGTTAATAGTAAGAGGAGCAGCTTCATAACTTATGCATTTTGCCAAGTTTAATTAGAATGATTCCACCAAGGAGGATGAGATGGGCAGGGAATGTAGCATGAATGGGGTTTAAGAGGAATGCATATAGGAGATTGGTGGGAAATCCAGAAGGAAAGAGACTACTAGGAAGACTAAGACGTAGGTGAGTGAATAATATTGAAAGTGATCTTAGAGAGACAGGACGAGGTAGTATAGACTGGACTGATCTGGCTCAGGACCAGTGGAGGGCTCTTGTGAACATGGTACTGAAACTCTGGGTTCCATAAAATGTTGCCAGGTTCTTGAGTAGCTGCATCTCAAGAAGGGCTGAGCTCCATGAAGTTTGTTAATAGTAAGAGTATGGAATTAGTTCAGACTTCTGTCCTTGTGCAACGTCATCTTACGCTAAAATCATCTTCCATTTGGGTACATACAGTAGTAAACTTGAAAAGTGGCTAATGTTATGTATAAATGAGTAAACTGAAAAAAAAAATTGGTCTGCTAGAGGAAATTCTTGTACTTATTTGATTTCTTGAAATTCTTCAGAATTCTTATTGGATATGATAGTCATTCTTGCAAATGCCTAATATTACGTATACATGTATTTCAGAAACAAATCATGCATTTTTGCATTTTTGACATAATTGTACAGGAGATAATGCAAACATCTTGATCCGTGCTGTACTCAGCTGACTTGTTGCATCCTGGCATCCTGCCATTCCATAACCCCCATCCCCACCGTCATTTTGCTGACGTCTTTACCGTTATTTCTATCTTGACCATGTGACCTTCCTTCCCTCTCCACGATTGTTTCAGAAGGGAGTAGGTGTGTAAGCAGTCTGAAGGTAGACCTACTCGCGAATGGTTGCTTACTGGCAGCCGGAGGACTTTGAATGGAAATTCTGTTTCGGACTTTGTAATTCTAAATTACAAGGTGGTTCAAATATGACCGGGACTGATTTTTTTTAAACCAAAATTGCCAAACACTTACTTGTACATGTCAGTCTTCAACGTACTCCCCTCCGGAGTCAACACATTTTTTCCAACGTTCTGGAAGCATCCTGATGCCCTTTTCAAAAAAGTTTTGTGGTTGGTGGCGTATCCATTCCCGAACATTCTGGATGACGGCTTCGTCCACAAACTGCATGCCTTGCAAGTCTGATTTGAGCCTTCCGAACAGGTAGAAATCACTTGGTGCAAAATCGGGACTGTACAGTGGATGTGTCAGAAGGTTCCATTTCAATTTCCGGAGGGTTTTCATTGTTTTGGCCGTATGTGGGCGTGCATTGTCTTGAAGGAAGGCTACCCACTTTCCACCTCTATTCCGCTTGGATCGGATCTTTTCCTTCACATCTGTTGCCAGGAGGTCTGAGTAATAAGCTGCATTGACTGTTCTGGCATCTGTCAGAAAGTCTACATGGATAACCCCCTGCCAGTCCCAGAAGAATGTTGCCATCACTTTTCCTGCTGAACGGCTCCTCCGCGCTCTCTTGGGTTTGGGAGAACTGGTATGCCGCCACTAGTGTGATGATTGCTGGGACTCAGGAATGAAGTAGTGCACCCACGTTTCATCGGTGGTCACTATAGACTTCAAAAATGCATCACCTTCATCTTGAAACTGCTGTAGGAGACGACTGGCAACTTGCATGCGCACCATTTTGTTCACGTCCGTCAAAGTGCGTGGTACCCACCATGCATTCACCTTGTGATAGTGCAGGTGGTATTTCATGATGTCATCTACACTACCAACACTGATGGACAGCATTGCTCCAGGTTCCTTGATAGTGATGCGCCTATTCTCACGAATAAGTGCGTCTGCACGATCAATGTTTGGCTTGGTGACGGATGTTTGCGGCGACGATCATGCAGTTCATTCTCCATGCACTCTCTGCCCTCTCTGAAGCACTTACACTACTCAAACATGCAGGTCCGTGAGAGACACTCTTTCCCATACTGTTGTTGGAGCCTGTGGTGAATTTCAGCGGACGGGACGTTTTCTCCAATGAGGAATTTGATCATCACAATGCGTTATTCCACACTCCGCGGTACCTTCTGTTCACTCATCATTCTAGCAACTTCCAGACAGGACTGAACAGGTTCTAACCCTAACAGGAGGGAGGGTGGAGGTTGTGGCTTCACTCTCTCAAGGTCGCACAGCTGCTGCGCAGTGCGGCTTGTTTACAGAAAAATCAGTCCCGGTCATATTTGAACCACCTAGGGAGTCTTCAGTCTGGCTGGTAAGGGTAAGGCTGCCCAAGGTCGCAATGGAATATGCTTGATTACAGTGCAGTTGCGACTGTTTTTTTGTATTATTATTATTATTATTGTTGTTGTTGTTGTTGTTTTTGTTTTTGCCAAATGTTGGTGTAACCTGTTCGATGGCCTAATGAGGCTGGGGCAAGTGAGGCAGTTTTGGGTTTCTGCTTGCTATGACTGTCCATAAAACGTGGTTACTTGGGCAATCGCTACTTTTGGTTGTGGTGCCTCGCCCTTTTGCGTTTATGCCTTGTTTTATTTATTTCTGTATATTGGGTGTCAATTTCCTTGTTGTGTTGGCTATTAAGTATTGTTATTGCTTGTTTTGAAAGCATGCATATACAAGGTGTGGCAATAAAGAACCCGGATTACTTTTATGACTCATTTCCGGCCACGTCATTGACGAAGAGGAGGGTAGGGCATTGACCCTTGGACTTCCCTCTACCGTCACACAAAGTTTCATTCACGTGCATCGGTTAGTCTGGCCGCGACCATTGTTAGAAGCGGATCGTGTTTCTGAGCTCCGTCGGAATAATGCTGAGTGCTAATGCAGAACAACGTGCTAACATCAAATTCCTCACAAAACTTGGAAAATCTGNATTTCCTTGTTGTGTTGGCTATTAAGTATTGTTATTGCTTGTTTTGAAAGCATGCATATATATTATCTCCTCCATAAATGCTTGGATACCCCATGAACACCCTGGGGAGCTTGTGAACGCAACAACAGAGCCAGAGACAATGGCTGCTCCTCCCGAATTCTATCTTCTGATGTGCTAGTAGAGGCTAGTACGATTAGTGGTCAGTGTACTGCGAGAGGGAGATAAGGGGGAGCGATTCAAGATATCAGCCATGATTTGAAAGTTCTTTATTTGACCTGTTGTTTTTACCTTTGTGTAATATAATCATATATTTGAAAAGAGTATCCATCATTTTGACATAAATACTACTTGAATCGCACCTGGGGTATGCAAGTTTTGAAGCAGTGGCTGAGTTCTACTTCATTGGTGTCCATACTAACCTTTATGTTACAGGGGATGCATCTCATGTATGAGCAGTTAGCAACACTGGATGATTTGCATAATCGATACACACGCTTTGGGGAGGGTGCTTTAGCATTGAAGGAAGAAATGCAGAAGTTTAAGATTGACATTGCAGATGAAGTTGCTGCAGTGCTGGCACGTACACCTCTGACCATCCAGCCAAGGAAAACACCAACAGATATTGATTCAGAAAATCCAACCTGTGAGTCACTGCCTCCCCCAATTGTTCCACAGGTATAGCACTGCTCATGTTCTCCACAGATTTTGTGGTATAGGGTTATAGGTCAGGAACTGTAATGCTCCAGATTAATGGGTTTCTTCAGTTTTTATGGAAACAGACAGAAAGAGGGCCTGGAAATAATTTTCTATGGCAGTTTTAGTAAATCTGGCACTAAACTTTGCCGACAAGCAGTGGTCGCTTGGTCGGTGTAGTTCGCAAGCAGACTAAAATCATGGAGTTTTTTTTTTGTTTGTTTTTAGTTAGTCTATAAAATATGGTCAGACAGAATGCAGTACTTACTTGTTACTTCTCTGTAGCATATGATTTCCTGCTTTTAGAATTTACTGTGTTCAGCGTTGCACCTTACAATATTAAAAATGGAGAAATGTTGTATTGATACTGCACTTAAAGGGGTCATCACAGACATCTGAACTAAACACCACACAGTGAATGTTATTAGTGAAGAACAGTCTTATTGCTGGTGTGTCCATAGTCTGTAGACCCTAGATTTTCATATTTACGAACTATGAATCCATTGTGCTGCTGGCCCTTCAAGCTATGAGTATGTGCATTTGTTGATCAGTTAAATTCAACAACAGAGTGTGTTTGTTTTTATTGGACTGCTTTAGGCAGTGTCATACATATATCTGAATAGATGACAGTTGCCTAAGAATCTGGCATTAAAGGTTTGAACATGAATTTCAGCTTTTCATATATTTTTAGTTAGATGCATACCACCTGAAGTTAACACTATTTTGGAAATAGTGCTTAATTTTAGTTGTATTTCTTTGTGGAATGTATGGTTGGGGATCCAGATTTGAGGTTAAATAACAGTTTTATTCTGTTGTCTCCAAATTTCTATCCTGGGTGGCTGCACCCTACTTCCTGCAGTATTAACTGTAAGTAATTAAATTATTTTATCACCATATTTTTCAGACCATTGTTACCAGCCAATGGAGTCATGCTGGAACTGTCATACCTGATTTTTTTTATGTCACTGGAGTCTTTTTATAATCCAAAGAAATTAAATGGGCATGTTCTACGTAATGTCTGTAACTACACAGAGTGGCATAAAACTTACATACCCTTAGTGTTTTTAATATTGTACATAATGCTGTAAGTTCATTTCCCCCTATTTTAAGACCATACAAATTTGTCAGTGCAGCTTATATTTGTATGCAGGTAAATGCAGGACATATGGAACGTAAAAAAATATGACTACCAATAATATCCAGAAATGGTTGAAACACTTTAGGGCAAGCCTGTCCCATAATGTGCTATTATGTGTAATATGGTATGGTACTAAGATTTGAATGAAAATGTGGTTGTGCAGCAGTATTTCTTCTTCTATGGCATCGTTATTATGGAGGTATGATAACGATAATAATAACGCAACATTTTCACTCTCATTAGTACTATCTGAACCAAACAGTTAAAGATTTTCATAAACATACATAACCTCCTGTACCGGCAACCGACTGCTAATTAGATGCCATGCTTTACAAGTGAAAGTCTTTGCTGCACACTCGCAAGTCACTGTGTGTAAGAATAAACTAGTTGATTTGTTTCAAACTGGAGTAACAGGCCTACACAGGATGCAGTTTAAAATCTCATTAAAACTTGACATACATGCATTATGCTGTGGGTTGCCCTAACTGCTACAGTTGCAATACTTGCAACTTCTTCACGTCATGGACGGAATCAGTGATCAGAAGACAAACTTGTTGAGTTGTTTTATGGTGGTATAACTATGCGTTACATTAGGGGTTGTTTTTAATGCCACAATTGGAATACACACAACTTTTATATGTTACATATGTAAGAAATGATTGTGAAACAGACATTATACCTGACTGCATAAATGTAATGGGCCCCACAGATGGTCCATCTTAGCGTCCATTTTGCCTGTGCAGTTCTAAGCTGTCAGGTAAGACAGAACGCTGAAGAGGGCACAGACATTCCATTTTGTTATGTCTTTGCTCTCAGTTTTCATGGATTGTGCACAGAGCAACATGTTGGAGGAACATTTAATTTACACCGCTCTAACATGAGCTTTGAGATCAGAAACTAAAAAGAAAAGGACTAGGTTAAAATGGGCAAAGGTTTGGTTACTTAAACAAAATAACCTCTTGCATATAAATTTACTGAAAGATTTAACTCTAGAACTGGGTGATTGGTACAGTTATTTAAGGATGGACAATGAGATTTATTTACACCTTCATTTGGTAGTGCCACATATCAGAAAGAATGATAATGCAATGCAATCCAAATTGCTAACACTCTGTCTGGGATGTTCTTGGCACAAAATTGCCAGACTTCTGAGAATCCTTGACTTTATTGAGTTCTTTCCAAAAACAACTGCATAGTGAATTTATTTCTTTACCACTGCTTCCTTTGTTGCTTTGGCATCAATTTCCGATAACTTGACTCATAACTGTTCATAGGCAACATTTTTTTTTATCAGAGTACTCTTTACTTTTGCTGTTCCACAATGACGGATTACTACAATACAGCTGAATGAATTCGCTAAAAAATGCTTGGGATACGATTCTCAAGTCTGACATATCGAAATGCACAGTTGGAACGATTAGTTTAAAAAAATTATGCTAAAACTGTAGGCCCCACACATGCTCCAACTTGCTCGCAAACATGCTTATACATGCACAGAAAAATCAGTCACTGACAGATTTACTTGAAGCCAAGCCTAAGACGGTACAGGGACGAAAATTCTACCACACACGGACTGTCTTACCTGACATCTCAGAACTCCACAGGCAAAACAGACGCTAAGACGGACTGTGTGTGGGGCCCATAAAATGCATGTTATGATAGTGGCATGTAAACTGTACATGAGCCCACTACTCTTTAGTTTTGTAAGCTAATTAAATTAATTTTAAGTAAGTTATCACACTAACATTGAAAATTACTCTGTAAATTACGTGGATAGGGTAGTTCCTGCGCACATGACATTATGGTACTAGCACATGATTTATCTCATTATGTCCATCACACAGTCACAAACAAAGAATATGAAAGTAATTTCACCAATGTGTACTCATGAAACAAAGGAATACTGTTGAGGTAAGTTTTCACATTGTATTTATAATTGTGACATTTGAAGTTACAATAATGTGTAATGTTTTGTGAATGGGAAAGCCATGACAGGTGACACCAGAAATCAAACTGAGTTTGATAAGGGGTGAAATATTGCACCTGCACTTGTTCAGTTGTATTCTATGACTTCATCTGAAGTCAGTGGAAGCGCAGGAGAAGAGGAATCTTGGGTGGCAAGAAGGGAGGATATTGCATGGTGCCTCTGTAAGCAAGCCAAGTGACACAGCACACAGTGATACAAGCTACTGGACTGATGAGGAAGTTCAGAGCTGTAATGTTATATATATTTCTCACTGGTTGAAACTTGGAAGGGGTGAGCTGCTACCATAATCTGGAATGTGAACTACTCCTAATCAAGAGCAGGGCAGAGGGTGGTTTAAGAACACCTTTACAGCTGCTAGCCATAAGAAAATTAAGAAGCAAACTGCAAGTTCATTTAGTGCAAGAAACTGAGGGTAAATGGTGGTAGCTAGTTACAAATTTCTGATTATGATGAAAGTGCACTAAAAAAGCCCTCATTTTATGTGACGGTTTTTTATATGAGTAACTTTAAGCACTAAGAAAGTGACTGCTCCAGTAGTTTTGTTATTATAATTAGGTCCTTGTTATAAGCAATAATCATTATACTGCAGTTTCACTGCTAATTCTGTTTTGTGATGCAGCATTATTCATAGTGGGCACGCGGTAGCATAGTTGGTTGAGGCACTGTGCTACAAGCTGGAAGGTCGTGGGTTCAAGTCCCGATGAGGTCATTGGATTTTTTTCAATTGACCTAATCATTCCAGCCGCACTATTGCTCTGGGGTTGACTCAAGCCTCTAACAGAAATGAGTACCAGGAATTAATTAAATAATTTTCCTGGGAAGTAAAGCGCGGCCGGCGCGTAAGGCTGACAACCCTACCACCATTTTTGAGCCGATTGTCTAGATAATGTGGGACCCTAGACTTCTTACAACCTTATGGGCCTTCATGGCCTGTTACAGGCCATTTTTTACTTTACATTATTCATAGTATTTGTATATCAGACACTTTCTGTCAAAGTCCAGCACTTCTATCTGGTATTGTTCCCAGATCTGGAGTCATCACTTTGATAGAAGTGTGCAGTACTGTAGTGTACCACCTCAAAACAGATGATATTGAAAGATCTGAAATGGCGTTTATTGCATTTTGTACCCAGTTGACCTTCAAACATATTCTCATCACTGTATTTACAGTATATATTCTGTATTTCAGATTGTGGCACCACAGATTGGTTTGGAGCCCGACAGTGTAAAGAAAACTGAATCTGCAGAGGATTCACAACCAAACATCACAGCTGCTGCTCTTCCACATGACTACTTGTCACTGTCTTCACCATTAGTTTTTAGCCATAGTCTCGATGAGCTTACCACTCCTGATGACATATTTGGGGCTCAGGCTTTAAGTTTTGTTCAGGGACTTACATCAATTAACTATGACATTGACCTCTCTGACTTGAGTGCAGACAATAGCTATGCTGAAGATGTTCCTGCAGCAGATGGACATAAGAGCAGTGCTATGCTTTCACTGGAAGTGAAGCCTGCAGAGGAGCTCACACCATCATTGCTAGATAACACCGAATCACCAACAGGAGATCTACTTCCTTCACCCATCAAACCTCTTTGTACAGGAGAATACCAAGGTTTTGCAGCACAGGGTTGGCAGATTCATAGCATCCCCTGTGAGACAGGGGACACACCGTCCTTAAACTCTGACGCTTGTGGGAATGTTGATTCAGCTTCCAGTCAGGTGAGTGTTGCTGGGAAGACTGTAGATACAGCAGCGAGTGATCATAGTGTAAATAAAATGGGAGAAACATTAGTCAGGGTTTTAAGTGGACTTATGACATTTGATACAATATTCTAAAGCAGCATTGTTCATGTACTTAATTCTTTATAGTTTCAGACATGAATTGCTGCTGAATACAAACAGATCAAGAGCTCCACCTGTACTGTGGGAAAGTACCTTTGATGAAGACCATCCTATAATATATGATGTCGCTTTAAGTAAAAGAATTGTTAAATACACAGGCTGTAATAGGTCTCCTCATTGTCATTATCTGTTACTCACCAGCCTGTCATGACGTATTGTCAAATGTACGAAGTGATGATGTAATTAAAGTTAACCATATGTAATATATAATACCTAATTCAGTGATTTCTTGATCTCATTTTTGTCTGGATATCATTTATTGATCTTATAATTTTAGCATTTTATATCATATATTTTTCTTTTAAAATTTATCCAGAATTCCATGTCAGTTTTTGTGGAACTCTCTAAACAACAGAAAAAGGCCAGGAAGGCAGTTACCATGGAGACTGTGACATAAGGAAACATGCTTATAAACCCCTGAGAGAGTTTAGAGACTGGCTGTTTTGGAACCGATTGATGAACTTTGCAAGAAGGGGCGTGATGCCAACCTTTTCCTGTGGTGCTGGTACTTGGACTTTGGTAGAGAGGAATGCATCATCTGGATGGCAGATGACCAGGGGAGAGTCCTGCAGAAGAGAATACAACAGCGGGTTCCTACCTGGTGTGATAATCGAACTTAGGAAGAAAGGACAAGTATTCAGGAGCAAAGGATGATTGTTGTGCACCTCAACTATAAGGATGACCAGATATATTATGGGCATAACAGCATGAGAGAGGTGTCTGAAGCCAAGAATCTGGATCAGAAAATAGTGCAGCACAAATCGAAGCCACCGGAGAAACATACCACTTGCATGGTGGCAACTGTATTGTTAGTGATCAGAAGAGTAAGGGGAAGGCACAATAGAGATCTGATGGGTGCCAATGTAATGTATTTCCTACTCTGTACTACCTTCCTCTCTTTGCTGTTTCTCCCTCTGCCCACCCCATGTTCCTTCCCATCCTCTCTTTATCAGGCCACTTGCTGCTCTCATCCAGGACAATCACATCCCACCAGTAGACGGATTTGCTTCTTTTCTGGGTTCCAATTTTTATTTTGTCGTTTGGTTTTGGAATTGTGTTTGACTTCAGAGCTGTGTTAAGGTGAGTAAGCCACCCTTTTGCAGTAGTTCTTGTTGTCATAACACAGGTCTACAAAGATATTTTTTTTTTCAGATGCGTGGAATATTTTTGGTAAACTGTTTTCTAGAATGCTGAATCCAAAAATGACCTCAATTTCCCCCTATCACGTACGGTTTTTTGGAAAATAATAGGGGTTTACAATAAAAAATCATAAACAGTGATGAAAAAATCACTAATTTTATTACATTGAACTGAACACATTATTTCTCATAATTTTTTTCATGATATATTTAACATTCTGTGTTCAGTCTTTTTGCCTGTGAAACCTTTTCTTCTCTTTGATGCTCCTCCGAACACGCTTTCGCTTTCCTTTTCCGTTTCCCGGTGTTGAATCGCATACGTCATAATCACCTCTGTTTGAATAAAAAAATCCTAAAACTTCTTGATTATTTTCATGAGTGCACAAAACTACTCACGTAAATTCTTACATGACGCTACCGTAGTATGATCCGTGATAAATAGTGTCGGGGAATGAAGAATAAGAAGAGTTTTTATCGTTGAATGGGTTTAAGTTATTGTGTTCAGTTTGACGGTAAAAAGAGTTAAGGGGTGGTAGTCTGCATAAGTATATGAATACGTAAGATGTGAAAATTATGTTTGAAAAACAAACATCAGTGACACCCTTTGCGAATAAGTTGGAAGTTGAATTATATTTAAAAAGCGAAATACCTGGAAGTACGGTATGAATACCATATAGGTTAAGTATAGATGTATACAATGCAGTTATTGAGAGCCTGCCGCAAATCGTTTGCCAGTCCTGCTGAAGAGATAGAAGCACTTTACTGTAAGTCTGTCCATGTCTGTTTGACCTATAGCACAATATAGAAGCCTATTGGTTTACACCGTAAATAAATCCACCAAGATTACAAAAGGTCTAGGAAATTGTAGCTGTTCCTTCACACACGCACTATAAAGTATTCACATTTACGAATTTTGAGTTCCTTTATGGAAATACATCAACATGAGACCTGAATCTTTACGCCTTGTGTCAATGAATGTGTTTATGATGATGTGTTTTTATCCTTGATGAGTATGGTTGTGATGGTTACTTTAGTAACTTGATTTTAAAGTAGTATTTTTAAAGTTGGTCGATTAAGCATAAAGGCAAATAAACTTGAAATTAACTTATTTATATTTAAAATAATCCAAAATTTGTGTACTTGTATTCTGTATTGTAGTTTTAATTAGAGTATGTCTCTNCGTCAATAATACAAGAATGGTTTATTCACCATTTAACACTTAACACATGTTTCGACCATAGATGGTCATCTTCAGGTGGTTTAATGCGTCCAACTGTTACACTGTTCTGAGGTGCACTAAAATTGTGTGTTGCAGTTCATTTAAAATAATATAAACAATTACTTAAAAATCCATTAAAATTTTTCGTGAAATCCTATTCCACCTCATAAGGGGTGTTGTCCGCTTGTTTAAGAGTTATGTGTTTACGTGCTGAAATAAACACAACTCTAAACACCCCTTATGAGATGGAATAGGATTTTACGATAAATTTTAATGGATTTTAAGTAATTATTTATGTTATTTTAAGTGAACTGCAACGCGCGATTTTAGTGCACTTCAGAACATTGCAACAGTTGGACATATTAAAATACCTGAAGATGGCCATCTGTGACCAAAACATGTTGTGGTAAGTGTTACATGGTGAATAAGCAATTGTTGCATTATTGATGAACTGTGAATACATAGACGTTTTATTTATAGTTGTATGAATAGTTTTGTTTGTGTGTTTTGAACCATAGCACCTGGAAACTGACAGAATCTTCCAACTTTTTGTATGGGTATCCTACATTAATCCCCACCAGTGGTATCTCCACCTTATCATGGTGGTGGGGTTTGAGAGCTCCTGAGACCCTGAGAGCTGTGCCGGCGGTAGTGTAGCTACTGGTAGAGCCACCCATGCTGGACAGGTCAAGGGGTAGGAGCCAGACAGAGAGGGATACCCAGGTCCTCCAGGTTGGCGGTTGGGTGTGAGGCTAAGAACCTTGCACTGTAAAAACTAAATTGTTCAGAAATCCGAGGAAAGAGTAGCTGGACGGACCTATTCAAGACGACCTAGAAAATGTTTAAAGGATTTGAGAACTGGATCTTGGAATGTATTATCTCTTTACAGAGCAGGAGTACTAAAAATGCTACTTGAACAACTAAATAGCTATAAACTAGATATCACTGCTATACAAGAACTGAGGTGGTTGGGTAAAGGAGTCATGGAAAAGAGGGATCATGTTGTATTCTATAGTTGTCAGAAGAAGAGTCACATGTTTGGAACAGGTTTTATTGTTAATGAAAAAAGGAAGCATCTTATTTTAGACTTCCAGGCAAAATCGAACAGAACATGTAGGCTATGAATTAAGGGAAAGTTTTTTAACTACAGCCTTATTTGTGCACATGTCCCAACTGAAGATAAAAATGATGAGGAGAAAGACTCCTTTTATGATGAAATGGATGAAATGTATGGCGAATGTCCAAAAAGGAATTGTAAAATAATCATAGGGGACATGAATGCTAAAGTGGGGAATGAGGATGTATATAGATCGGTTATTGGAAAACATAGCCTACATAACGAGCCAAACAATAATGGAATGAGATAAATAAATTTTGCTTCCTCAAGAAACATGGTAATAGGTAGTACAAAGTTTAATCACAAGGACATAAATAAACGAACCTGGAAATCCCCTGATGGAAATGTGTTTAATCAAATTGATCACATCCTAATGTAAGACATTGTTCAGATTTGATGGATGTCAGGAGCTACAGGGGGGCCAACATTGACTCTGATCATTACTTAATAATATCAAAGATTAGAAGTCGAATATCTAATGCAAGGAAGATACATGGATCCCAGGCTAAGAAATTGAATGGTGGAAAATTGGTGGAACAAGGAGTTGCAACCAGATGTACTGGATTAATTAATGAATGCCTGGCAGGTCTCTCTGATAGTGAGGATGTCAGTGAAGCTTGGAGGGGCCTTAGAGATGTTATTATTGTAACGTTTTTTTACCTCTAAAGACGCCGTTAATGGGTTAATTGGTTTATTTAACAACCTACAAATCGTAACTACAGTCAATTATAACACAGTTGTGGGTTTACGCAATTTATAAACCCTACACAATAATCTGTTCACTCTATCTTCACTAGTCTTCACTCATTCACAGTACAATACAGAGCTGTACCAGGGTCACTGTATTTCACACTCCCAATACCTTCTCACACTATCACTTCTAATCACATGTTCTCACATTCTTCTATCCGTGTTCACGATTCGCTCGCTACAACTGAACTCGGCGACTGTTACAATTCAACTGTCTTAGGCGGCTGCTATATTTCAACTGCTCGTAACTCGTAACTGGCTCAGTACTCACTACTGAATAGTGTTCGCTGCTCCTTATTTAGCCTCGGCACAGACAACACAGAAAACAGTTACATGATAGCTTTCACTGTTGTGTGACATCATGTTTACCGATTGCTTAGCAACAGTCGCTTCACGGGCTCCCCTGTTGCGTGATGCTGTGTTAACAAAGGCGTTGTTGGGCAACGCTGGCGAGAATTGTTTATTACCGCATAGCAACTACAGTTTCCCCTGTTACATCACCATGGGGGAGGGGGTGTTTAATGAGTGTTGCATCATCCACATCACACTGCTCCCTTCTAAAGGTTGTTTGTCCCGAACAGCCTAACGGTACAATCCCGTTCTTTTTCTTACCGTTGCTGTGCTCTCCAACCATTACATCTGCTCCTTCTCTAAGACCGGCTCATCTTGAGCGGTTTCCTGCTAACGAGCCTGAAGATCCAGTTGTATCACATACACTCCTCACATTCAGTCTGCCCTCATTCATGCCGGGGAGGCCGGTGTTTCTACATTACCGGTTCCTCCTCTATCTGTTGTTTTCTTTTCTGTTTCGGAGGGGGTCGACTCCACATCACATTATAAATGCTGCTGGTGCAGTCTTAGGAAGAATGGAAAGGATACAGTATAAGAATTGGTTTGATGGAGAGTGTAAGCAAGTGACAAATAAAAAAAAAACCAGGCATATAAGAGAATGCAGCAAGGAACCATACTCAAGGGGCCGTGGAAGAATACCGTGAAGCGAGAAAAAAGAAAAAAGATTGCATAAAAAGAAGAAAAGGGAATATGATAAACAAGAACTGATTGAACTGGAGCATTTAAGAAGTTCAAACGAAATTAGAGCGTTTTATCAAAAACTAAACAAGAGTCGAAAGGACTTTCAGCCTAGAACAACCTTATGTAGAGATAAAGAAGGCACGATATTGAGTAGCGATGAAGCAGTATTGGAAAGATTGGTGCAATATTTTGAGGAATTATTAAATGGTAACACCTCTGAACAAGTGGAAGGTATGACCATAGACCAGAATCAAGGAATTTTTGAGGCTGAAGAGCCAGCGCTGACCATAAAAGAAGTAGAACAAGCTATCAAGAAATTGAAAAATAATAAAGCTCCAGGAATGGATCTCATCACGGCAGAATTAGTTAAATTTGCAGGCTCAAAATATGCTAAACACTTACATCAGCTAATAGCTAAGATATGGATAACTGAAATAATCCCAGAATAAGAAAGACGATGTCATGTTATGCTCTAACTATAGAGGAATTAGTCTGTTGTGCATAGCATATAAAATATTTTCCAACATTGTATTTAACAGCCTCTCTCCCTTTGTGGAAGGCATAATTGGGGATTACCAATGTGGGTTTCGTCAAGGAAGATCAACTGACGATCAGATTTTCATNTGTTGTGTGCGTTCCTGTTTCAACCCTTTGGCGATTAGTGAGATGGCCGACCAGAAGGAACAAAGAGTGTGCGTGAAATTTTGCTTTCTGTTAGGGAAAACTGCACTTCACTCTTCAAGTCGCGGCAAACATTCACGCGGTTTTCTCTTTGGTCATCTCCGAGCAAGCAAGGGACAAATTTTGCAGACACCCGTCTCATGTGCAAACCTTCGGTTAAAATTCGCTGGACCGTGCTCCATGAGATGTTCGTTTCCTCAGAAAGTTGGTCAGTGGTCTTTCGACGATCTTCATCAATTGCACGTTTGATTTTGGCAATGTTTTCGTCATTTCTTCCTGTCGAAGGACGCCCGGGGCGTGGCATGTCTTCTGTTGACATGTTGCCAGATTTGAAACGGGAAAACCACTCGTAGACCTGTGATTTCCCCAAAGCATCATCATTAAAGGCTTGCCGAAGCATCCCAACAGTCTCGGCTGCAGTTTTCCCTGACTGACAGACTGACGCCAGCTCACTAACAGTCGCAGGAGACCCCCAGCTAACACCACCTAGCAGCACAACTCGTAACTACAAAGCATGCGCGCGCAACAGGTCATTTCTGGTTATTTTTGGGTCCCCCCTCGTAGTCTTTTTCTGACAATGGAAGACATGCCCATTCCACGGAAGTTAATCGCCTTAGTCAGAGCCACTATGAGAAAGACCCAATGCCAAATTAAGATTCAGAATATGTTGTCCAGCCCTATAATAACTAGAAATGGGGGATTCCATAGCTTGTCTTTTGTTCAGTATAGCATTAGAGAAGGTAGAGATGCAGGCATCAACACAAGGGGAACTATATTCTATAAGTCAGTTCAAATTTTGGCATTTGCAGATATTGATATAATTGGTAGAACACAAAAATCTACGAAAGAAGCTTTTCTTAATTTGGAAAGAGCAGCAAAGAAGATGAATCTACAAATTAACCAAAATAAAACAAAGTACATGCCGGTAACCAAGAAAGACTGTAAATGGACCTGCATATATTGAAATTGGCTCTTTTAAATTTGAGGCTATATGTAGTTTCATATACCTTGGATCTGAAGTTAACTGTAAAAATAATATCAGCGATGGAATAAAAAAGCATGTACTTGCGGCAAATAAATGTCTCCATGGCCTTAGGAAACACCTGAAATCCCAATTAATACCCAGGAAAACCAAAAGTGTGATGTATAAAGTACTTATAAGATCAGTGCTATCTTATGCCTTTGAGACCTGGCCACTGTCAAGATCGGATGAAAGACTGTTAAGTATATTTGAAAGGAGGATCTTGAGATATATCTTTGGACCAGTGGAAGAAAATGGAATATGGAGGAAGAGGTATAACCATGAGCTATACAAACTATTTAATGAACCAGACAATATTGGATTTATAAAGGTGAAAAGGCTTGAATGGGCTGGACACATAATACGTGCCAGCGAGAATAGAACGATTAAGAAAATACTTAATACTAAACCAGAAGGAAGGGTGAGTGGGAAGACCAAGATTAAGATGGGATGAATGTGTGTATGGCAGGACATAAGAATTTTGGGTGTAAAGAACTGGAGGAATGTAGCATCGAATGGAGAAGAATGGCGAGCAATCCTGAGGAAGGCCAGGGCTCACAAAGGTCTGTCATGCCAGTGATGATGATGATCCTACATTAATAGTTCTTTTAATGTGTAACTTTCGCTTGGTATTTTGACACAAAAGTAATGGTCTTGAACACCGCATACCATAGCAGTGTTTTGGGAATATGGTTGGCAGGTATGTAACACATAAACTCACATTGTACTAGCAGTTATAAGATTTAATTGGCAAGTATTTAATAGAAATTGTAATGTATATAGGCCATTGGCCTATTGACTGTGCCACAGGTGTGAACACAGGCCATGGGAGATGATGCCAGTAGGATGTGCCTCATGTTGGACTTGCTCAATGATTTATGGCAGGCTTCAGGGTAATCAGTATGTGTATATAAATGGAGATATTTATACGTGAAAGCAGAATGTTCTCTTTTAGGCACAGATTACACATTTTAAAAGTAACCTTATGTAAATATACTTTTCTTAGGGAGAGTGCAATGAGTCTGGAATAGAGAATCTTCTATCATGGTTAGGTACAGCACCAAAGTTCACAACTTTCCGGGTGAACACTCTTGTGTCCGCAGCAAATGAAGTTTGTGAAGTAATTGCACGTGATCTTCATAAGGTTCGATATGTTTATTTACAGAACTCATAGTACTGAATTGCTTTTATATCTTTGTCACATTTAAATTTGTGTCTTCCTCAATTTCATCTACTTTTTAAGCAGTCAGATGTACAAATTTTAATGAATTACATTTATGTTGTTTATATTGATATTTAATATCTCTTCATGAATGCAATTTGCATGTATTGACAGCAAGCAGCTACTCATGGAAACTCTCTGGCAGTATATAATGTGGCAGTTCATCCGAAGTTACCAGATACTGTTGTAATATCGAGTTTCAATGAGGCTGATTTAAGAATACAAGAAAGAGAAGTTATCGTTGATGCTACCTGTGGTGCTGCTGTATTAAGAGGTGCACATGTGTTTGCTCCAGGGATCATGGGCATGCCAACAGGTGCTATCTACTTTTCTGTTTTTCTCTACTGTTGAATTGTAAAAAGTTGCAATGCACTGACAGATATGCAACTTTTGACAAGTTTACCACTTACATCAGTTGGTTGCCTATGTGCATACTTGCTGAAAAACATCTGTGTGTGCTCGTGCATGCATGCACGCACCCACGTGCACATTTGTAGTTAGTTTTGTAGACATTGCAACTATGAAATAAAATAACATAATGGGACAGCCCAATTTAATGGGAATCTCAGACTCATCACCTAAGTCTATGCTCATAAAGAACATGTTGTATGAATGGGATACTTTGAATAGATTTCATATTTAATTGCCCCTCCATGTGAATCCTGTATTAATGCTTTTTCTCCCTATGTGCCTCATAATATATTAAATGAACCAAGAAATGAAAAGAGGAATTCCATTTTGCTTCACCATAAAACCCAGTTATCTGATATTATTTGGTGTTAAATAATGTTTCTAGTTGATGCAACATTTTGTAACTTAAATACAAACCAACATGAAATTACTGTGTTTTTGGACACTATCCAATGTCCTGTTCATTTATTCTAAACACAACATTTTGGAGACTGGATACTGTCTCCGTATGCAGGTAGACAGAGACAGAATATAGTCTCTGAAACTGTATGTTAAAGAAAAAACAGGATGATGGATAATGTCCAAAAACAGTACTTTTATTGATGTAATATCGTCACAAACTTTTAGATCTTATCTAAACTAACATGGAATATTCCTCATGGCCTCAAAACATATGACCTTCACTTGTTCTATCTGTATGAGGTTCTCCTCTGGCACCTTCAGTACAAATGAAGAGCCCAGTTCAAAAAATAATGGAGTCCACATTTCATTAAAAGTAATTTTATTGCACAGAGTGAGAATTGGGCCTTCCAGTATGATGCAGAATCAAAACACCAGAGTGTCTGAGACTGAAGAAAGATTGAATATCCGAATAGAAGATAAAAATCAACCTGCTCCTCCCCCCTCCCCCAACAATACAGGAATTGCCAATTACAAATTTGATACCAATCAATCATCCAGGCATTCAGCCTTCAAATACTGGAACTCTTGTTGCAGTGCATTCATTGAAGAAACGAAGAGTATTGCCAGACAAGTGGATTTTATATCGTCACAATGTGCCTTCTCACACAGCAATGATTTTTGGCCAAAAAGTGTACCAATGTTGAAACATCTACTGTACACGCCGTACTTGGTCATACTTATGTATTCACAAAAGTAGAAATTTTGAATGAGTTTCGTCTGGAATCAGACAGTGTGACAATACAGAAAAGACTTTGAAGAAATTAATTTTTCACTGTGTTTTTAGATAACGCAGAGGCACGGGAGTGTGAATATGAAGTCAGAAAGCAAGTACTTTTAAAATGACCATAGTCACTAATAATTGGCCACTCCAGGTATTTGTCAGACCCTGACAAATTAAAACGATTTGTATTAGGCATGATTCCTCTACTTAAGAAAATGTTTAACAGTGAACATAGTATAGTATCCAATTCATATAGTTCATCATTATCGGACACTCATCTGTTACATGTGTGGTAATGTACTGTAATGATTCAATCATAATTTCAGGTGTTCACTGTGGAGATATTGTAAGTGTTTTTGCAGACACTGTAGGGCAGTGCAAGAAGGGCTATCAGAAACCCTATGTACAAGGTTGTAAGATCTTCCTTGGGAATGGCATTGTGCGTATGGAGCGCAAGCATTTATATGCCAAAAACTTAAAACCAGTGTGAGTTAATGTTCATCATCATTGGACTTAATCCTTTTCCACACCCAGTGCAATAGAACATAGTAATATTAAATATTCCTGCAGCTTTAAAATGTGGCATAAAAAGGATATTTAAATTCACTATTTGGGCACATTAACATACAATGAATTTAAATGGCACAGCATGGAGTGTAATAAAAAGGGTTTTAGTTTTTCAGCATAGTTTTCTTGGATATGAGATATGGTCTGTCCCCTGATGCAAGGTAGAGGCATTGGAGAGCAAGCTACTGAGGAGAATGTTCGAACCTAACAAAAATTAAGTAACACAGGAGCTTCTTTGCTTGTACTTTTCACTTTATATTGTTCAAATGATTAAATCGAGAACTGTGAGAAAGATGGACATTTGGCATGCATGGAGAAACAAAATATTGATTGTAAAAACTTAAATGAATTACTTGGGACTTCGGTGCATAGAGGAGAGGTTAATATTAAAACAGAAATTTGTGGTGGATATGTAAATTGGTTTTGTCTTTGCATAGGATCCAGTGGTAGAGTTTTCTGATGACAGTGATGTGGTTTCATAATAGCATGTATCTCAACTGGTTGGATATTATCATCTGCTCAAGGAAGACCTTATATGGAATTAGTGACATGTTATGTGTATAAAACAGTGAAACATTGAAACTAATTTTTGTTATTACAGTGGAGTTGCAATTGAAATGACAGCAACAGTATCTGGCTGCCCAGTGATAGGGCCAGATTGTTTGTCTTCTAACTTAGCCTTGCTGCAGAATCTGCCCTCTATTCTCTGTGGCCATGTGCTGAATCCTCTGCAGAATGAGATCATCCTTGACATGTGTGCTGCCCCAGGGAACAAAACTTCACATCTAGCAATGCTTATGGGGGATCAGGTAAGTGTTTGTACATGTGCTGCTATAGGCATTAACATATTTTTGAGTTGTAATTTGTCTATATATATTCTTTAAATTAATATGTTGTAGGGTGTCATCATAGCACTAGACAAGACAGAATCCAAGGTGAAGAACATTGTAAAACGTTGTCAACAATTCTCACTCCACAGTGTGCACACTTTTGTATGTGATTCCACCAGAAGTGTTAAGAAAATCTCACAGCCATGTGATTCTGAAGAACAACAAAAATTGGTACTTCAAGGACCGCCATTTATACAGGAATCATTTGATAGAATTCTGCTTGATGCACCATGCAGTGCATTAGGACAAAGACCCCAACTAGCAAACAGAATCACAGTTAATCAGCTTAAATCATACCCTCTTCTGCAACGCAAGTTGTTTCATTCGGTAAGTGACTTCACATTATACGTATTATTATTATTATTTTGGAGGGGGTGGGTTTCCCCATGCACTGCGACCATTTGTTGATCTACTGTGCATCCCCCTTTAATTATTCTACTAGTCGCCATGCTCTTCCAGTACTGGTGCTTGCTATCAGCCCCGTTCTGCCAGCGAGGTCGGCCCTCTCTGGCAGTGGTCCCCGATACTTCCCCATCTACCGGAGGAATTGGAAACTACTTGGGCGGGAAACTTTTTGCCTAATTTTGCTCAGAGGTCTCCTAGAGACATGAGGATCTTTTACGTGCCGTAAATCTACGACACGGGACATACAGTTTAAAGTCCCTCCCGGAGGACTTGTTCCCTGAATTTTTCTGCCCTTAAAAATTCCACGACCTCCGCCGGGTTTGAACCCACGTACCTTGAGTCATGAGGTGGGAACATTACCCCTAGACTACGGAGGCTACTCACATTATACGTAGGTCGTACCGAAAGTCATGAGCAACTTTTTTTGCATGCACCCTGGGAAGGAACAGCAGACGAAAGAGAGTATGGTGGTAGGTGGAACCAGCTGTTGTGTTAACCTTGAGTGTCTTGTGACGTCAATAGCTTGCATCATGTGACCAGTATCACTCCTAACAAAATGGCCGACAGTGATATGTTGTTTCGGCAGTGTGCTGTCATCAAATTTCTTGTGAAAGAGGAAATCCCTGCTGCAGAAATTCACCAGAGACTTCAGCGTGCTTATGGAAGTGTGTGCATGGGTGTGAGCAGTGTTCGAAGATGAGCCTTGGAGCGGTCGTCCTCGAACAGCCTCAACTGAACGCAACAAGGAAAGATTGGATGAGATCATTCAATAATGTTATATTTTAGCGTCCTGTTGCACTGATTCAAGTCCATGATTTATTTCACCGTCTTCTAGTGCATACACTTATCTACTTCATTGTATGCACTAGAAGACGGTGAAATAAATCATGGACCTGAGATCATTCAAGATGACAGGTGTGTGACTGTGGACACAATAGCCCGAAAACTTGGAATAGGGCACAGTGCAGTACAGGAGATGATTGAAAGCTTGGGCTATAGGAAAGTTTGTGCTCGTTGGGTCCCGCGGTTATTGACCCAAGACCACAAAGGTCAGCGAAAAGCCATCACCTCAGAACTGCTGCAGAGATATCGACACGAAGGCGATGATTTTTTGCTCTGTATTGTGACAGGTGACGAGAGCTGGTTTCACCATTTCAAGCCTGAAACGAAACGGCGGAGTATGGAATGGCACCATTTGCATTCTCCATCAAAAAAGAAGGCAAAGACAGTGCCATCAGCTTCGAAGGTGATGGGCAGAGTCTTCTGGGATGCAGAGGGGTTTATTCTGGCCAAATTCCTGGAACCTGAGCAAACCATCAATGCTGCTCGTTATGTCCAGACACTGCACAAGCCCCATCGTGCATTGCGCGATAAACGTCCAGGATGAAACATCATCATCCTGCATGACAATACTTGCCCCCACTCTGCTCGCCTCACATTGGACGCAATTGCAAAGATGGGGTGGGAAGTTCTTCCACACCCCTCCTATAGCCCTGATCTGGCACCCTCCAACTACCATCTTTTCGGATTTGTGAAGGATCAGCTGCGTGGAAAATGTTTTGGGACAAAGGAGGCAATTCAGAAAGCAGTGCGTCAGTATCTTCGGATGGCTGGAACGGAATTTTCAAACTCCCAGAATGGTGGGAGAAATGTGTACAAAGAAGTGGCGATTATGTGGAAAAATAAAGAAAGGTCTGTAAATTGTGATGGTGTATTTGGTTTGTCAATAATAAAGCATGTTACTTTACAAAAAGTTGTTGCTCATGACTTTCAGTACAACTCTCGTATAAGCTTGAATCATACCCACATCTACAATCTAAACTATTTGTCAATAAGTGATTTGTGTGTGTTACCACGATCCTAGTAGAGAGCATCCAAATATATACTATGAAAATTTGGGATAACTCAGTCAGCACTGTGTCTAGGCTACAATCTGAACAGCCGAGAAATCAGGGTTTGATTCTTGGCTGAGACAAATAACTTTTCTCTTCTCATAATATCACAACTGGCTCTAGGGCCCACCCTGTCTTATATACAGTGGGTACCATGGGTGGTTTTCCCAAGGGTAAAGCAGCAGAGGTGTGAAATGACCACCCACTTCTATCTACTGCCAAGGTGAAGTTATGCCTTCACTCCTCCATACATCTACTTGGCATAGTGCTTAATTAATTAAGCCCAGGGGTAACCGTACCTTTTACTTTGTACTCTTGCTAGTATGTGTTGCAGCCATGGCTATTTAAGTGGCATTTGAATACTGAGGTAGAGTTTATGGATGCAATTTGAATTTGCATATCTAATTATCTTAAGCTGCTGTATATTGTGATGCCGACAAGGAAAGTAATAATATCCCAAGCGAAGAATGGGTACTTTGCTTGTACCTCTGTGCTTTGCATAAGCTCAAAGCATATCTGTGCTTATGTAAAGGTTGTTTCAGGTGATAAATTATCCTTCATTGTATCAGTTCTATGAGTTTTTTCAGCCTACTTTCCTTATTTTGAGAAATGAAAGTAGGCTTATGAGATCACCTTGCTGTCTGTGTGTCTGTATGTATGTGTATACTTTGCCCCCAACAACTTTTGAATGAACACAGTGTTTTCTTTGTGTTCCATGCCGAGGCCAGCGCTCAGTTTGTAGTGAAATGAAAGTAGACAATTAGTTCTTCCCAAAACTTCTTGTTGTGGACTCTGAAAATATGTTGGCCATATGCACAGTTATCATACTGAAGATACAGATATGGAAACAGGTCCTATAAATGCTGATAAATAAGACTAGATGGGAGTAAATGGATAGTTTTGCACACTCATTGCTTTATCGTGAGAGAAAGAAACCTCTTGCCATTATACATGAGACCAGATGGGTCTTTTTACCTCATGTTACATTTTCTTTTCAAATACCTTTTTTTTTTTAAGCTACTCTTGTAGTGTAACACAAAGATTAAATTTCACTAGGGCAAAAAAATATATATATCATTGGACATGATCTTGAAACAGTTTACTCCCATTCACATATAACCTATCTCCTTGAGATCCATGACTATATAATCAGTCTCCTCAGTCTACCAGATGACTGCTTTCCCAGAAGTCTCTGTATTTTTCATGTCCCTACCTCCAAGGTACATATGCAGACTGTTGAAATTGGTTTCAACAGTAATTCTTCCAACTTCTTTGGGTGTGCCTGGTTCCAATCTCATTTGTGATACAGATTACCTCAGTTAGGGTTTTCATGGTTTTCCTCATTCCATTCTGACAAATTCTGTCGTAAAGATAAAAGTTATCCTTGTAACAGGCCGAGAAGGCCAGTAGAGTTGTGAGACGTTGAGGCTCCCACATCTTCTAGACAATCAGCTCACAGATGATCGTAAGGCTGTCAGTCTTACATGCCAGCAGCCTTTTACCCACCAGGAAGATTCCTGGTACTCATTTCTGTTAGAGGCTGAGTCATCCCCAGGGCCATAGTGTGGCTGGAAGGATTAGGTGAATTGAAAAAAAAACACCTCATCTGGACTCAAACCCGCGACCTTCCAGCTTGTAGCATAGTGCTTCAACCAACTATGCTACCGCATACCCTGACAAATTCTGTGGTAGTATCTCAAATTAGGTTATGACCCCTTCTTTCCAGTTCCCTTCCAATTTGTTATCATTCCATCGTTCGCTGCCTTACAGTCTTCAGTTACTGACAATGTCACTGAATAAACCATAAATAAAAATAAAGATATACATATGCAACTGTTTGTAACCATCTAGATATTATATTAATAATACTAGGTGGGGTGTATCAACTGTGAAGTTTCCGTTCCCCACCTATTTAGCCTCTCTTGAGAGAACTGTTCTCTGAAGCTCATGTGTTATTACTCCTTCAGGCAGTGTCACTACTGAAGTGTGGAGGTACTCTCATATACAGCACTTGTACGGTGACACACGAAGAGAATGAGGGGCTGGTGCTTTGGGCTCTGAAACATTTTCCAAATTTAGACTTGGTGCCTGCAGTACCAGTATTGGGTGGACCAGGGCTGAAAGGATCAGGCCTCACAGAAGAACAGAGGCAATGTGTGCAGAAGTTTGGGCCTCCACTAGTGGGTAGTGACTGTGACATTGATACAATTGGCTTCTTTATTGCATGTTTTCGCAAGAAATCTACAGTTGATGTAACATGATTTAATCTGTTTGTATTTGTATATTGGTGTACCATAGTGTTCCATAATACATGGTATTTACTTTTAATAATCATAAACACACTTGTCATATGCACTTCAACTATTAACTAGTAATAAATGCTGTTAACATTAAATGTCTAATTAGTTTTTGTTTGGCATTGCCAGGATCTAATGCAGTGATTGAGTGTTTTTTCTCAATAATAAATGCATTATGGTCAGATGAAAATGAAAGACTTAAAATGGAAACAGTGAACGCCTTAACCAATGTGAAGACCGACTTTAAATATATCTCTTGTTCAGAGTTATTTTCCAAAGTATTGAAAGAAAAAGTATTTCTGGAACAGGTTCACAAGTCTGATAAATATTCAGGTGAATTTGGGAAGGCTTTTGCAGAGTAAGACATACATTTTATTTTTCTATGAATTTTTTTAGGTGTTATGTTTCTAAATTAATAATTTTGAGCCAATTTTTGTATGTTTAAATTTCTCTGTGTTTAATATATAGTGTGATTTATACATTGACTCCCCCATATGCATTCATGGCGTAGTGCTTAATTAGTTAAGCACAGGGACTTTACTTACTTACTCACTCACCTCACTGATGTAAAGAACAAAAGTATAAACTTGTTCTATTTATACAGGAATTGTGTTGGTGGAACCTCCCACCCTATAGGATGCTGAAATACTTGGAATACAATTGTTTGTAATTTCTCTCCATACAATGTTTCATAATGATTCCAATGATGGATGACCAAGGGGTCGGAGTTTGAGTCAAGGTAGGTTCACAAATTTTCTTTTCTCCGCATTGTCCAGACAAGCTCTGGGGGCACCCAACCAGTGCGTACCCAATCCAATGGGTACCACGGGCTCTTTCCCTATGGGTAAAGCGGCTGGGGTGTGAAGCTCACCACTTATCTCCAGCTAGTGCCAAGGTCAAGAAATTGTGGATCTATACATCCACTCACCCATACATCTTCATGGCATAGTGCTTAGTTAACCTTTAAGAGACGGCCATTTAAATTCCGGTAGTGGTAGCGGGACGGAGTTAATTTAAATGTCCGCCACTGTAGAGTAATAAAAATTGTAATCATGTTACTCAAAATGCTGTGATTTCTACAATTTTTGTGATAAACAAACGAAATAAACACTGCTTTTATCTAGAAAGAATATAGAATCAGTGATTGTAATTTACCGATTTTAAAATCTCTAAAAAATTTTTACACTGATGCCAACAAAAATTTTTCCCCTCAATTTCGAACGTCTGTGCACAAAAATGCATACAGTTCCTGCACAAAACATTTCTGCAGTCTGAATGCCTGCTGGTGACATCATGCTCTAACTATGGCTTGTGTTCCTACAAAGTCAGATGTTTACGCTTCGTTCATCATGCTCCAGTTCGTAGGTTCCTTACGGTATGAACGTGTGTGGGCGATGTCTACTCGTTCGCAGAAACACCGACTGTTTTATCTCGTATAGCCAAACAAGAAGTAGTCTGTTTTGAAATATAGCCGAGCAGTGTCAGAACGTTCAAGGCTAGCGTTGTGTTTAGCTGTCCACCATGGCCTCGTATGTGGAAGACGCTGAAATTGAAAATCAACTTATAAATGACACCGATTCAGACTGCTTGTACCGATGACTCTGAGAGTTGCGAGGAAGAAAGTGAATCAGAAATTGAAGTTGATGAAGAACCATCATCTTCGTCGGCAACCTGGGGACCACCACACCAGCGTGGCAAGAGGATTGTGAATAATTATTCAGGTGGAGCTGTGGGCAAACTGTGGCAAACAGTTATAGCATCTGTCGTCGAACCTGGAAATGGACAAATAAACTATTTTTCCATCTCCTGGATCTGAACAGTTACATCCTGTTGTCACACAGAGAATTTCGTCTCGCTCTTGTGCGGAACATGCTGGAAGGGGTCCACTTCGCCCTCAACGGCCCAGGGGTCGAACCCCTGCCGTTTCATTGGAGATACCTCGATTAGAGGAGCTCAAATCACATCACTGGCGGTTGATTTCGACGAAGAACCATCATCTTGGTCGGCAACCTGGGGACCGCCACACCAGCATGGCAAGAGAAGTGTGAATAATTATTCAGGTGGAGCTGTGGGCAAACTGTGGCAAACAGTTATAGCATCTGTCGTCGAACCTGGAAATGGACAAATAAACTATTTTTCCGTCTCCTGGATCTGAACAGTTAGATCCTGTTGTCACAAAGAGAATTTCGTCTCGCTCTTGTGCGGAACATGCTGGAAGGGGTCCACCTCGCCATCAACGGCCCAGAGGTCGAACCCCTGCCATTTTATCAGAGATATCTCAATTATAGGGGCCAAACCACATCACTGGCCGACTTCGAAATTGAGGTGTCGTGTGTGCTTTTCACGTGGGAAACGAAGAACCGTCCGGACAAAGTGCGTGAAGTGCAACGTCGGACACTGGATTTCCGGATGTTTCCAAGATTTCCACACGAAGCCAACAGTCCGTTAGAAGACGCAGGTGGGAAGAGAGACAACTTATAAAGCTGGTGACCAAAAATCATGTAAGTAGAAAAAGAATTTATAACTTAAAATTAGATTTTAATAGCCGGCCGCACGCGTGGACTGCGCAACGACATATGGCGTCATTCGTCCCCTTGACTTTATTTTGATGACACCATATGGCGTCGCTCGGCTCTTAAAGGTTAAGCACAGGGACAACTTTACCTTTTTTATAAACAAAAATTAGTAGCTTCATGTTCATACCAATATTAATGAAAATTCATCAGTCAGTTGAAACCTTATTAGGTAATACCACAAACATCACCTTTCATTATAAACAGACAGGAGGCTAGAGATAGATAAATATACTTTAGGTCTGTTACAGACTCAAGTACTTGTGCTAGACAAAGGAATAAGGTCCATCTTCTGAAAGAGTTAATCATGACAACACAGCAGAGTACTTTCAAAATTATTTTAATTTTCTGGACATTTCATTTATAGTGTATTTTATATCTTATTGCATTGCATTAAAACTGCTAACAGGAATATACAGCAAGCATGACTATGGTGTTATGTCCCCAGGAATAGTTTCCTTCTTGTCTGAAAGGGCAGGGATTGCTCCTGTATCCTGCAAAATTTGCTTTTTCTCTTCAAAATAATTATGAAACCAGTTAATGTGCTCAAGCTTCATCTGCACAGTAATGTAAGGGTTCTTAGAAAGTCCAACACACACCAACTCCATAAAATGACGGACAGGCCCTTTCTTTGGGCACCATGGTTCCAAATGATGCTCCAAGAAAACATGTTCTGTGAAATATACTTTTGACTCCTCGACCTGACCTGCAACACAGTTACAACTTCTTTGTATCAGGAAATCCAATGGTTTAACATAAAATACTGTAATAATTTTCCATTATTTTGAAATTCAGTACAGAATGACCGTTCACTATGTACTTCATACAACCTTCAGAAACCAGCGTTTTTTTCCCAGACCCTTTTGTCTGAAGAAAATTCCTGGCCCAGAGTATATGAATGGAATCTTATACCAAAACTAAACGCCTTGGATAAAAGATACTTGAAACTGTATACCTTTTTTATGGTACATAAAGGGAAAATTAAATTATTGGGTTTTCTGTACTGAACTACAAATATTGAGGCAAATGTGTCTGCTTTTTTATTGCAAAATAAACACTTGGAATATGCTGCATATATAGAGCCTGCATTGCCTGGAAGCAAGTTAAGGTGACATTTATCCCTAAGGCTTATTGTCCTATCAGCCTGTCATCTTTCCTTTTGAAAATGATGGAGAAAATAGTGGATAGGCATATTCAGGGACGAAGCGTTGAGGACATATCCTCTACACCGAAACCAGCATGCCTACCAAACAGGTAAATCTACTGAAAGCGCACTACATAATGTGGTAACGCATAGAAAGTGCGATTGAACACAAGGATATTGCCTTAGGAGCATTCCTTGACATAGAGGGAGCTTTCGATAGAACCTCATTTAATATAATCAAACACGCTGCTGGAAAGCATGGCATAGAGCCTGCAGTGTGCAGGTGGATCAGTGCTATGCTGGAAAGCAGAACCATAGCTGCCACACTATCAGGAGAGATCCTGGGGGTGTCCGCGTCTAGGGGGTCCGCAGGGGAGTGTGGTCATTGACGATCTCCTATGGGGACTTGATGATGGGTACTATACAGTAGGATATGCTGATGACATAGCAATCCTCATAAACAGAAAATTCTTTTCGACAGTATTAGAGCGTCTTCAAACAGCTCTGTACACGGTCCAACGATGGTGTGAAAGAACAAGCCTTTCCATCAATCCTAATAAGACGGTAATTATATCGTTTACCAGGAAGAGAAATATAAAGGGCCTTAAGGAACCGTCTTCAATAAGATGACCTAGACCTTGGACTAGTATTAGACAAGGGACTGACATGGAAAAAGCAGCTGGACAAGGTCATCAATAAAGCCTATAAGACTTTTTGGACATGCAGAAGCATGTTTGGTAAAACTTGGGGACTGTAGCCACAAGTGCATTGGATATACACTGCGGTTGTAAGACCCATAATTACATACGGCACTGCAGTATGGTGGTCCAGAGTTAAACTCGAGACAAAAAAGGCAGAACTTAGCAAATTGCAAAGGTTGGCTTGCTTGGGTATCACAGGAGCAATTCGAACATCTCCAACAGCTGCACTGGAGACACTCCTTGGACTCCCTCCACTGCATAAACAGTTGGAGGCAGAGGCCAGGGCAGGAATCTACTGTCTCCAGTGCAGCGATCAATGGAAACCTAAATCCGATAGTTTCGGACATGCATACATAACTCAGGACATGAGGAAAGAACCCATATTACAAATGGGGATACCGAGACATGTATACAAAAATCCCTTCACAGTCAGATTTCCTGACAGGAGTGACTGGGAAAACGGGTTTTGGCCCGATAGAAAAGGGGGACTGATCTGGTATACAGATGGTTCCAAGATAAATAAGGGCACTGGAGCTGGTTTGTACTGCTATGGCATGAGGCGGAAACTTAGTTTCAGCCTTGGGCAGTACACGACAGTATTCCAGGCAGAAGTATATGCCATTAAGGCATGTATTATGGAGAATCTAGATAGGAACTACAGAAATACGAACATCTACATTCTATCTGACAGCCAAGCTGCATTTAAAGCGCTTGACAAACACCAGATCAACTCAAAATTAGTCTGCGATTGCCACCAGACACTCATGGAACTGGCCAAACATAACAGGGTACAAGTGATATGGGGGCTGGGACAGGAGGGTATTGCTGGAAACAAAACAGCAGACCAATTGGCCAAGATTGGAGCTGAACATCCGTTCATAGGACCTGAACCAGCCTGTGACATCTCTATAGGAGTTGCCAGAAAAGCAATCAGGGACTGGATAAATATGAATCACAAGAAATACTGGGGATCCTTGACTGGACTCAGGCAAGCAAAGGGACTCATATGAGGACCCTCTACTAAAAGAGCCAAGGAACTGTTGAAGTTAAACAGTAACCAGCTACAATGGCTGGTAGGACTACTTACAGGACACTGTCACCTTAAAGGACACCTCTTCAAACTGGGACTAAGTAATAGTCCAACTTGTGAGAGGTGTCAAGAAGAAAATGAAACTGCCCACATATCCTGTGTGAATGTGAGGTCTTAGCTTATTTAAGATTACGTCACTTGGTTCAATATTTTATGGAACCAAGTGACTATTTCGACGTCCCCATGTACAAAATCCTGCACTTCGAATGAAGCGCAGGATTGCTGAGAGGATAATCAGAAGGGGAGGCCCAATAGATCACTGGTCGCAGTGCAAGGCCCAAGAAGGCCCACCCCTTATGCGAAGGGTGTTCCGTATATAATACCTCCTATTTTTTTGTGTTAATATGTAACGTCTGAGCTAGATGTTGGTGGTGGTGTAGTAAAGGTTGAACCTTCCCGCCACTATACTGTTAGTTTGGTTGTCATGCGACAGATAGCAACAGCAGAGCAGTCTACCAAAATGGCGTCTGACATAGAAGTGTGCACGAAACAGGGATGTGTTATTGAATTTCTCACTGCTGAACAAATTGCACCCACTGACATCCATCGACACTTGCTAGTGGTGTACAGAGATGATACAGTGGATGTCAGCACAGTGAGGTGGTGGGCAGTGTGTTTCAACAGTGGCGAAAGTGAAGTGCACAACAAGCCACGCCCTGGGCGTGTCTGCTCAGCTGCCACTCCTCACAATGAACAGCGCCTCAATCAACTCATCCGTACAGATTGGCAGATAATGACCAGGGAACTGTGTGCACAGCTTAATATCAGCTGTAATGCTTTGGAAACGATGTTGGGGAAGCTGGATTATCGCAAAGTTTGTTCCAGGTGGGTCCCGCGGATGCTTACAGAGGACCACAAAACTCATTGAATGGAAGTCTGTCAGGACCTGCTGCACCAATTTGAGGCTGAAGGTGACAAGTTTCTGGACAGCATCATCACCGGAGATGAGATGTGGTGTCACCACTACGAGCTGGAATCCAAAAGACAATCCATGGAGTGGCGACATGCGGATTCCCCAAGAAAAAAGAAGTTCAAGACGCAGCCATCACCAGGGAAAGTGATGTGCACGGTCTTTTGGGATAGGCGGGGTGTGATTTTCTTGGATTTCCTGGAGCCTGGTGAGACTGTCAATTCTGAACGCTACAAGACTACGCTGACTAAGCTGAAAGCCCACATTTCCCGAGTCAGGCCAGAGAAGCAGACAACCTTTCGCTTGCAACACAATAACACTAGACCCCATACCAGTTTGGCTGGACTGTCCTACCACATCCACCTTATAGCCCGTATTTAGCACCTTCAGACTTCCATCTCTTTGGGCCTATGAAAGATGGACTACGTGGGCAACATTTTCAAGACAACGATGCTGTCATTGCAGCTGTAAGGAAGTGGCTAGCCTCTGCTAGCGCAGACTTTTACAGGCGCAGCAAAAGTGCATAATGAATGGTGGTGATTATGTGGAAAAACAACTGTAAGTAGCTGAAATCTTGTTCTATTTAATTGCGTTCTTATGCTTTCTGTTATCTATTGTAGTTTTCATTAAAAAAATAGGAGGCATTATATATGGAACGCTCCTCATACATTCATTCATTCAACACTGGGAATACCGTAGTACTTATGACAGTGGCTGGAGTCTTATGGTATGCAGTTAACCTAACAAAACACAATAAAGGTGTGTACATATGAGGTATTAAAGTTTTTAATCATCTTCCTCAAACAATAAAAATGTTGGCTACTGATGAGAGAAGTTTTAAATCTGCACTGAAGAGGTTTTTATATCATCATTCTTTTTATTCCATGAATGAATATTATCAATATAATTGGTCATAAGTGTGTAGTTTTGTAATGCATTTAATTCATTTAATTTAGGTAATTTAAACAAAACTGTATTAATTTAAGTTTTATACTAATGTTGTGGTCTAGTGGTCAGCATTCCTGGCACTACAAGATTTTTTCAGAGAAGTAGTGGTTCTGGAATGGGGTCCACTCAGCTTCCTCGTGATAACTGAGGAGCTATTTCAAGGAAATAGCGGCTCTGGTCTAGAAAACCGAAATTAACGGTCATGGGGATTCGTTGCGCTGACCACACAACACCCTATATCCACAAAAGTTGGCACTAAACTTCGCCAAGAAGCGGCAGTCGCTCGGTCGGTATAGTTTGCTTGCGGACTGAAATCACGGAGTTTGTTTTTGTTTTAGTAATGTTCTTTTTAAATTATGTTTATTAATTAAAATCTTAAGTTTTTTATTTTATGTTATTATTTATGTTAATTGATTAATGTTTTTTATTTTATGTTATTATTTATGTTAATTGATTAATGTAAATGATTTTAATTATGTAACTCACGTAACTGAGTATATGTATGTGGACACATTATTCTTAAAGGGACTATTTCTGCATCCTAGGTTTGTTACCTGTATGGATATATGGAAAATTAAGGGAATGAATGAATGAATGAATGAATATGCAATACTCATCCACTATCTTACAGAGTTTCAGAAGATAGCACTCGTTCTTTTTTTCTGGAACCATCTAGAATGAAACACCTCCATTTTTACCTTCTTCAGCTTCTTGTGTCTAAAGAGGCAAATTGTAATACAAAATTTAATATAAAAAGATATATGTGATAAGGGAGTTCCTTCTAACTAGTGATCAGAAAATTAAGGCCATTAAAATCATTACATCAAATACGATGTATTAAAACTTATGACCCAAGAAAAGATGCAATTTCTAATATGTAAAATTACAACTCTGAATTTTTTGTATAAGCAATGAAATGAACATAGTATTATAGTTAGGAAACAAGGTGTTCTCACCAGCCTCTTTGTTATGCAAATATTTTTATTGTATCCAACAATTTTTTTTTCTGTTTACACGTTTTGAGTATTGTCCTTATGTCAAAACTCAGCCTGGTATCCTGATTGAAACAGTTCTCTAAGAAAATAACGTGGGGGAGGGGAGAGCAAACAGATAAATCAGGCTGAGGTAAGTCAACTATTTACAAACCTTGTTCATTGTTAACTGGAAAGTGCCACAACTTCCCTTGTTCAGTCCACTGAATCATTTCCTCAAATATATTGGATGGGGGATGTGTCACAGCTAAACGAAGTTCACGAGCTTCAAGGCGATGCCACGTGGTGAGCTCTGGTGGAACATCAGACGTGTCTGCTTGTGATTCTGGTACTTTGAAGATACCAAGAGGTTCACCACCAAATATATCTATTTTGTCATCATATCTGAAATGACAAAGCATGTCAAATGAGCATGTTACATGCGAGAAAGATCTTTCAATCGATTTAAGTAAAAGAATTTGAAAAGGTATCACTTATTAGATCTAAAAGTTTTTCTAGAGACAGAAATTAACTCCGCTGATTAGGCCCAAAAGAGTATGTTCTTATCTTAAGAATGAAGACAGCATCCAGTCTCTGAAACATTGTATCATTTAAAATTGAGATTGTGAATAATGTCCAAAAAATCGACCAAGTTATCTCTTATGCTTTATATGAGTTAGTATGAGCTTATTTTCAGACCTTTAATTATTCAGTCACATCTCAGTTTGTTAATAAACACTACAAAACAAAAAAACTTCAAACTTCCATCCATGAAAAAATAAGTTCACCAAGATGGGGAGGTAATTCATTATAATCATGCCTTTATCATAGCCTAGGTAAGTCCTAAAGGGACCCATAATTCAGAGCTTTTATCATATATGTTTCTAACTGCCCTTCCAACTTGGCAAGTACTGATGACACAGAGGAGATTTTATATGAAGTGTGCAATGCACAGCTGGCTGGCTGAGTATCAACTGTAGCCAGCCAATGTACACACCCATCCTTCAGCAGCTGATAGCAAACAGTGTCTGCTGTAGTATTCCATATTCTGTCATGAATAAAATGAGAGAGAGGGCACAACAAATTCAGAGGGAAGCCAAGTCATGGCCTCATACAAAAATGCTGTCTAAGTACTTTGCTAGAGTAATAATGACAAAGTTCCCCAAGTATGTCTGAAGTTTCTGATAATGGTGTATAACAATCTTCTTTACTGATATTTTGGACAATGCCCATCATCTGTTTTTTAAAAATACAACACTATCGATTAGTTCTATTTCCTTCATTAGGTAACAGGATAAAGTATGAAATCTTACTCCAGTGAATCCCTTTTCACTTGATGAAGGCGGGGAGGGGGGGAAGGCTGTTTCTTAAACACCATAGTTGAGGGTAAATGGGGTGGATAGCATCCAAAATATTAGTCAAATGATTCCTATCAATATGATGAACCTCAACAATTAAGAATACTCCAAATAAAAAGGAAAATATCACTCACATACAATTACATTTGCTTGAAAGTAAAAATGGAGGGTGTCCACCCATAATACAAAACAAGCTCTCCTGTGGGGCAAGATCCGTTTTACTTTTGTGAAGGAAGATTTAGAAATGTTCTTGAAAATTACGTATATGAACACTATGTACGTATGGCAGTGCTGCTTCATTCTATATGATACTTACATTTTAGTTCGTTGTTGCTCCCTAACAACTTCTCTAATAGAGAGTTCCCTTTCTTTTGCAGTGGCTATCTTACGGCCCTCAAGGATCCTATGAACTCGTTGTGCTCGCCCCTCCTCACTCAAATATCCAGTCCCCTTATTCCGATCAATTTTCATTCCCGATATAAGATCTCTGAAATATAATGAATCAACAGCAATAACTTAACAACAAAACATAATGTAAAACAGTCATACAAAAACAGAGTGGTGTATGTTTCTTGTTCTACTACACTGAATCCTCTTGGGAAACCTTCCAATTCCCTCCCTCCCGCTCACTCACTCACCTTACCTCACCTCACTGCTGTAAAGAACAAAAGTATAAACTTGTTCTATTTATACAGAAATTGTGTTGATGGAACCTCACACCCTATAGGCTGCTGAAATACTTGGAATACAGTTGTTTGTAATTTCTCTCCATACAATGTTTCATAGTGACTCCAATGATGAATGACCAAGGGGTCACAAATTTTCTCTTCTCTATATTGTCCAGACCAGCACTGGGGTTCACCCAACCTCCTATTCAATGGGTACTGGGGGCTCTTTCCCTGGGGGTAAAGTGGCTGGGGTGTGAAGCTCACCACTTACCTCCAGCTTGTGCCAAGGTCAAGAAAATGTGGATCTATATATCCACTCCCCCATACATCTTCATGGCATAGTGCTTAGTTAAGCACAACTTTACCTCACTTACAGAGATATATCATGCACATATATCTCTCTTGGACCCTGGATGGTGTCATAACACAGATAATTATTAAATTATAAAGACATATCAATGCCACTTTTTCAAACTAACAACTGGGAATGACAGTTCACGTGAAATTAGTATTGATAATGGAGTCAGAGTAGTAAACTGTGCCACCTCTGAAAATCTGATTGTAAAACTACAGCATTCCCTCATTGTAACAGTCATAAATATACTTGGACATCTGATGGAAAGATTCACAATTAAACTGACCATTATCTGGTGGTGGCAAACATTAGGGACAGACTGGCAGTGAGTAAACTGACAATGCACAAATTTTACATGGAGAGGTTCAATCTCAAAAAATTAAATGAGATATGGGCTAAAGAACATAAAGTTCTGCCAAAAATTAGGCAAATCTACTAGCAAAACGTTTCAGATGATCAAGTAAGCTTGCAGTGAAGAAGCCTTAGCCCATAGTGCTGTGTTTAAGTGGCACAAAGGTTTGCACAGGGGTGAGACAGTTTGAAAGATGATGAGCATACTGGTCAGCCAAGAAGAGTCAGAACTGAACTAAAGATACAAGCAACGTTGGTGCATGCCAACTGCTCCCAAACAATAAATGAAAATTAAGTAGCAGCACCAGGGATTAGCCATGGTACTTGCCACAGAATTCTGTCTGATGACCTGAACACTGACGATCACATGAGCATTTGTGGTGACCTGATCGACAGTGCTAATAAAAATGGGACATTTCTCAATTGGATCATAACAGGAGATGAAATATGGTGTTTCTTATCAGATCTGCAACTGAAGCGACAATCAGCCACCTGGAAATTACCATGATCACCAAGAAAGAAGAAACCACATCAGAAAAAAGGAAAGGTAATGCCTGAACTGTTTTTTGACTCATCTGGAATTGTTCATATGAAATTCATACCAGAAGGAGCGACTATGAACAAGCACTGCTACAAGATCCTTAGCTCTCTATGCTGATGAAAATCATGACATGTAGAGAACTAAGAGATTCTTTGAAAATGTGGAACAGTTCAAATAACTGCAAACAACATTAACAAGTCAAAATTTGATTCAGGAGGAAATCAAGAGCAGAGAGAATTCAGGTAATGCCTGCTACCATTCAGTCAAGAACCACGTCTTCTAGTCTTTTGTCTAAAAACGTAAAAATTATAATATACAAAACTACAATTTTGCCAGTGGTTCTGTATGGGTGTGAAACTTGGTCTGTAACATTAAAGGAGAAACACAAACTAGGGATGTTTGAGAACAGGGTGCTGAGCAGAATATTTGGTCCAAACAGGGATGAAGTGACAGGAGGTTGAAGAAATCTGCATAATGACGAGCTTCATGACTTGTACTCTTTGCCATATATAATTAGAGTGATCAAGGAGGATGAGATGGACAGGGGTATGTAGCATGAATGGGGGGAAAGAGGAATGCATATAGAATATTGGTGGGAAAGGAAAGAGGCCACTAGGAAGACCAAGATGTAGGTAAGCGGATAATATTAAAACGGATCTTCAAGAGATAGGATGGAGTGGTATGGGATGGATTAATCTGGCTCAGGATATGGACCAGAGGAGGGTTCCTGTGAACATGGCAATGAACCTTCAGGTGCCATAAAATGTTGGGAAGTTCTAGAGTAGCTACTTGATTGGCAGATTCTCAAGAAGGGCTCAGCTCCATGAAGTTTAGTTAGTTTATAAAAAAACTTAGTCCACACATCATCTTACAGAAGCTGGACACTCTCACAACCGTAGTCAAACTAAGTTGGTATTACCAACCAACTGTTCTTAATTTAATGTTTTTTTTTTTTTCATTTGGTACTAAATGTTTATGGTCTTTGCTCAGTTACCTCACAATAAATTTTCTGTTATTCACATTACCAATAGTGCCATATAAGAATGATGTTAACAGCTTACCATGTTAATAACACACATTTGTGCATTTATTTTTTTATTTGCTTTATATTTTGTGGAACCCATTGACAAAAAAAAAAACAGTTTCAAAGCTGTCTTCAGTGGCCATCCAACACATGAGCACTTGATTTAGACACGTCACAGTATTTCCTGTAAATACATATGGATGTCGTTACCTCAAGCTTACAAACGGTTTCTGTGCTTCAGTGTCATTTTCTTTTAGAGCTTGTGAGGGGGCCAAAAGTTTGTTTAACAGTTCTGACTCTGTCTGTTTAACGTCTCCTCCTAGGGCTTCAGCAACTTCCTTTGTTGCTTCAGTAAGGGACTTTTCTGCAAAGAAAGAAAAAAAAACAGTAAACTTCGAACTGTGGTCACACTGTATGAAGCACATCACCTATGAACACAAAATATTAATTACCTAACTGCACTGGTGGTTTGTGATCATTTAAGCAGGTGGGGCCTGGATGGAATAAAATTTAATCCCTCTCCCACATTTCCCTTATTAAAAAGAAGGGGGGGGGATCTCTGTTCTTATTTAAACGTTCATATTTCGTTTCATAGTAACCATTTTTTGCAACTTCGATGTAATTTTATTTTTACAAGAAAATTTTAAATAAAGGACTGTGCTCCCTGTGACTTACCACCTTAACTCCTCTTAGCACTAAAATAATTTTGATACACCCAGTTTGGGACAGGACTGATAGGCTCACTTGTCCTCTGCTGCCCACAGATCAATCATATTATTTTGGCATCTGCAACCATCAATGTAGATTGTTTCTTCTGATCTGATAATTATGAACAATCTTTGTCTAATCATGGTTTACACTGGTGTAACATGTAATTACTTATAATCTCTTTGGATAAAGTTGTGATATTCTCTATAATTTCCAAGCTCTACTGATGTCCACATTAGCTTCCAAACTTTTGAAAGCTGCAAAGCTGTTTTATATTATAACCTGATACTTTCCTTTAACTTCCAGCCTGTTTAGCTTCATGACACAAAATCTATCCATATACATTTTGTATTGCTTGTCTGCTCATGAACAACCTCTCTGTAACCTCTGCAACCACCAGATTATGGTGAGTGCATGAAGAAAGGAATGAGTAATTCTAGTAAGTCACCTAACCAATTCAGGCACCTCAAATCAACACTTCCATATACAAACATAATTTACAATGTTTTGTATATTAATGAATATTACATTTAAAGAAAAAACTGTGTTGCCGGAATGCATCTGAAATCACCGACTTTACCGTTGAATGTGCATACATGTACTTGAAGTCATCTTCAGACAAGGCCCCTGAATCACTATAAATGACAGGTATGAAGCAAAACTTATAACAATACTGGGATGTCAAGTGACATTAAATTCAGTATCAATATGATAAATTTTTGTACTTACATATATAAGGAAAGTTCCACTTTGAATTCTAAAGTTTTAAACAATTTTAATAATATGATTCATTTTCAATGACCACCTCTGTGGTCTAGTGGTCAGAGTTCCTGGCTACAGATCCAGAGGTCCCGGGTTTGATTCCCGATACTACTAGATTTTCTGAGAAGAAGTGGGTCTGGAATGGGGTCCACTCAGTCTTGTTAGGATAATTGAGGAGCTATATCAAGGAAATAGCAGCTCCGGTCTAGAAAACTGAAATTAACGGCTGTGGGGATTCATTGCACTGATCACGCGACACCCTTTATCAGCAAAGTTAGTACTAGCTTCGCTGACAAGCAGCAGTCACTCGGTTGGTAGTGTTTGCTTGCGGGATAAAACCACAGAGACTGTTTGTTTGTTTGTTTGTTTGTTTGTTTAATTCATCCCACCTAACATCCAAATGCTGCTTCTATTTGCATTACACAACTGTCATGGTTATTCATAATTTCTTTCTTTCTTTTAAATATACAAGTGACATGCCTACCAAAATTGCATGTAACAGACAGAATTCTAGTTTCTAGGCGATTTCAAACAAGAACAATTTTATTATACTAAAACACTATGCTGAATCCTTATGAAGACTGAACTTGTGCTTGCAATATACATATCATACTAATTTATCATTACAAACCAACATTCCTACAATATTAGCATTACAATTTAAACTTAGTATAAATATGTCAAATTACAAACCAATGTTAACTTGCTTCTTTTTGAGCTTAACTGGTGGTCTGGCCAGCTGTGCACCAATTCCAGAAGACGAAGATGCTATATGTTCCTCCTATAATGAAAATAAATTTGTGGAAGATAGTGCTTTTAATGTTTAAAAAATTCATTTTACAGTTATAAGTGTTGCAGTTAAATCTCACTAACTGCAAGTCTCCCATCCAATGAGAAAAGCTCTGTATTTTTTGTTGTCAGAAATGAATTTACATCATTCCACAGGTGAAACTTTTAGTGTATTCAACTGCCTGAAGTACAGGAAGTTGAAGGTCTTGGGCAAACTTTCATATCATGAGGTGAACGTAAAGTTCTCCCTGTTCTTAAGTAATTAAGCATAATGCCATGAAGGCACACGAGGAAATGGAGGTAGAGGTCCACCATTCTTGACCTTTGTACTAGATTAGGGGGTGGTTTGCTTCATGCCCCAGCCACTTTACCCTGAGGCAGACAGCCCCCAGGACACATTGAACAGGAGGCAGAATGGACTTGAGCTAGTCTGGATGCTGTGAAGAGGAGAAAAATCTCTTGCCTCTATCAAGAATTGAACCCCAGGCATCAAGCCTACAGCCAATCAATATAACCACTCCTTAAAATCTTGAGGAAAAACAAATAATTGAAATAACGATTTTTTTAATAAACAAAGATTAGATTCAGGCCACGTAAACAAGAACAATATGCCACTTCACCTCCCACCTTCAGGCACTAACTGTACTTTGGGTGAAGGATCAAGATTCAAACCTCACTCCTCTACTGTCCACATTTTCTGTAATAATCTGATAGTAATTGTCTCTTACACCACCTTTGCCATTGATTCCAGCAGTAAATTCAGTTTCTTTACTGCTTCTTCATTTTTCTTTGGCTTTAGTGTGCCTTCAGAGTCCTTGCTTGATGGGTCTTCATGTTTCGAATTACAGAAAAGAGTTCCGGTCAATTTATGGAACTGACATAAAGGTGGCTGCTGCAAACTTGTAATCCTACAAATGGACAAAAGAAAAGTATCAGTGTTCACATATATAAGAGGACAGAGAAAAACCATACTTCCCAGAGCCGTTCATGATTCTGTATTTCTTGTCATGTTAACATTATTTCCAAAATAAGATATATAATATATATATTATATATAATATATATAAGGTATGCAGTCTACACAACAATATTCTATATTTAAAAACAAATAAGACACTACTGTATTTCCTTTAAAAAACATAATAAAAGCAAATGTTGATACAGTAGTGTCTTCTTTGGTTTCAAATGCAGAATATTGTTGTGTAGACTGCATACCTTATATAATTTTATATATCTTATTTATGACACATAACAGGATGCACACTATTAAGATTATTTCCAAAACACTTACACAAGCATCTAGGCACTCATTAAAAAAACTGTTTCTTTTTTCATGGATTAGTAACACCTCTTTCAGTATCAAGACTACATGGCATCAGAAGGCAGGATAACATTAATAATGAAGTGGAAAGGATATGGGAGTAGTTACAGCCAGTTTAACATAATGTATGAGGACATGTCTGGATGGACTGAGAATATCCATAAAAAAATCAGGATAGCCAGTGCCCTGGCTAAGATTCAAACTGAGCACCTCCCAAACACAAATCTACAGCATCACCTCTAGACCTCTAGACTTTTCAGTCACAAACGGTGTTCTGTTGAACACACAGATTCTGTTAAGGGTCTCCAGTAGTTCCAGAAATAGGCCATTTCTTATCAACTTCCATAGCAGTGATGGGGCATTTTATTTAAAAAAATTATGATAAGGCTGTTAGCTTCATACCTTATACTCCTTCCCAAGTATAATTAGAATGAAGAAGTCAAGGAGGATGGAATGGACAGGGCATGTAGTAGGAATGGGGGATACCAGGAGTGCCTATAGGATATTGGCAGGAATGCCAGAAGGACAGAAACCACTAGGACAACCAAGACACACTGGGGTAGATAGTATTACAATGGATCTTAGGGACAGGATAGGCTAGATTGATCTGGCTCACAATAGGACCAGTGGAGGGCTCTTGTGAACACAGTAATAAAGCTTTGGGTTCCATAAAATGTTGGTAAATTTTTGAGTAGCTGCATGATTGGTAGCTTCTCAAGAAGGGCTCAGCTCCATGGGGTTCATTAGTTACGATATGGTTGTTACCTAGCAAGATTGCTGAGTAACGTTTCTAAATTGTGCTTTGGTGGTATCCCGTTTGACTCTTGACTCGGCCACCCGATTATCCTGACCTTTTTGTGATTCTCCTCAGTACCTCGATTAAGCTACTAGAACTTCCTCAGAATTCTTTTCAATTCATTAATCTCAGACCATCAGGTACCATTCTACACTATAGTCTGCACTAATGGCGACGTTAAATAAATCCTAAACAAACAAACAAGCACTTCCGAAACAATGCATTTTTAAATTTCCTTTCTTTTTTATATTTCAGAATCAGTAGAACGTTTATAACCCCGGCATCAACCAACATATGACGCTATTTCTTTAACAATTCAAGTTTTAAAAAGAGCTTTCATTTGACATGCAATTTGTAACTTTTTAGGTTACCCATAATTTTCAGCCTGACCGTTAATTTATTTATAAAGAATGTATTGCCAATGTATTAAGGTTTTCCACAACATTCTGTCTTCATCTACGTATACTTAACTACAAAGGAGTACCTTAAAAGAAAGCGTACGGATAACATTGCCTTTTAGTCTTTACTCGAACAATATAACCATAACCTCCTCAACCTCCTTGACAGAACAAGACAGTTGGTTGCCCTGTCTCTACATGGTCGGTTTTCAAATCATGGTCTGGCAAGAAACTCATTTACTCTTATTTTAAACGTTCAGTACAAATTATACGGCTGCTAGCATAAATAAGAATATTAATTTCTTTGTACTTAATGAGGATTTTGTTGAGAAATAAGGGAATTCAATTATACCAGCGGATCTGTTGCTTTGCCGCCTAATACTCCGCCACATTGGCCTACATGTTACACTTACAGACTCCGAAACTCAGTTTCTGTAAAAATTCTGTATCATTGTAATATAGTATTCTAGTCTGTTATTTGTGTGAGTGAATTGAGGTTTATTGAATCTGGATTATTAATTACTGGAATTGTAAGTGTACTAGCAATTTCACAGTGAAGTGCATCAAAAAGTGATTTCGAGTGAAATTCATCACAATAGTGTTTTTCTCTTCGTTTCTTTTTCCCGAAGTGTTGAATATAAATAATAAAATTATTAGTCAGATAATCTGTTACTGTATTCATTTAGTGATATACAAGTGAAGTGCACAGGAATTTGAGATTTTAACTCCTGACAATCGAATCTGAACAGTCAGTCACCTTAAAAGAATTTGTTCTAATTTTAGTTTTGAAGTTACATTAATAGCGTCTAGGAAAAAGGAATATATTATTAATATTCATATCTGTGATGATGTCTGATACAAATAGCCTTTCTGGTAAATGTGGAGCATGTCATAGGTGGGTCACTAATGGCCTAATTTGTACAGACTGTGGCTACTGCTTCCACTTAAACTGTGCAAGCACTAGCCCCAGTACACCAAATAGGAGCAAGCCATGGTATTGTATCCCATGTAAGTACCAGAAACATGTGAAGCAACAGGAGGAGAGAATCAGGCACCTGGAAAAAGAATTAAAAGGTAGCTAGAGAGGAAATTTGTAAGCTGAAATGGGGTAATGTCAGCAGTAACTTCATGCAGCAGGATAATTGAGGAAATTGGAAAAAACCAAAAAATTCCAAGTCCAGGTTCTGTAGGTTCTCTGCAAATGATACTAGTCAAGTTCAGCTGAACAATAAATTCAGTGTACTAGAAACAGATGCACTGGAATTGGGTCAGCAAACCCCGGTTTTGTTTAAGCATAAAGACAGGGAACTAAAATCTATCACAATGAAGAGAGAGAAAAATAAAAGAAAGATCTAATTACTGGGAAGTAGTCATGGTAGGGAAATTGGGCTCATGCTTCAAGAAAATCTGGGAACTAAATTTTCCATATGTAGCATTTTCAAACCAAATGCTCCTCTTGCAAAGGTTGTTGAGTATATAGGGAAGTTCGGTAAAGGCCCTACCTAGCAAGATCATATTATTATAGTGGGAGGGCCAGGAAACAGCCTGGATAGAAACTATCAATATTCAATTGAAAATGATCTCAACTATGTTGTAGAGGACATCAAACACCAATGTGGGATTTGTCAGCCTCTTTGAGAGGCATGACAAATCATGGATGAATGGGAGGGTTAGGAGCATGAATCTAAGGCTTGATCAGGCCCTGATGGGTCATGACATGTCATCAGTTGCAAGGGAATATTACACAATTCATGGCCTGCACCTGAGCTCTTGAGGCAAGATGAGGCTCACACAACCTATTGCTGAGAGGGTTGGTGGTCATGCGTGAGGTATAAGCAGTATTCCTATTATAACCAGTGCTAGGTCATCTCCTTTTTTAGATTAAATTCAAAAGCACCAAGAAGCCTAACATATATTAAATGCAGTCCAGCCGTCTTGAAAATTCATAGACAAAATGCAGAAATATTAAATTCAATAAATATCTTTCACCAAAATATAGAACTCAAGCTTAGCAAGAAGTACTGTGTGAGTTACACAATCAAATGCTTTGGTCAAGTCCCAGAACAGGCCTCCCACAACAAGTTTATTATTTGTTGCTGTTAGAATGGTATTTATTAAGTCATAAATGGCTGATTCAGTGGACAGTTTAGTTCGAAAACCATGTTGTTCCTGTGCCAATATATTATTAATGTCCAGATGATATTGTAATGTATTATATATGATTCTTTCAAAAATCTTAGAAAAAGAGGTCAATAAAGATATTGACCTATGATTTGCTATATCAGTTCTATCACCTTTTTTAACACATTGCGGACCGGTTGTTTAAATATTTAAATCACCCTGGGGACCGGGGTTTTTAAGCCTAGCACCCTAACTTGTGCACTTTTCACTTTAAAAATTAATATAAAATCTCCTAATTAATTTTATGAACTAACATTTTTGGAGAACACTCCTAGAAGTGCTTGCGCATGTGATATCTCTGGAAACATTCCCCTTTGTGAAGGGGCATCACGCAGAAGTTGCAGATGTACGCAGTCCTACTCTTCTTCTTGTGGACTGCGCACACATGGCACTGCCTAGAAGGGTACTTCTTCTTGCAATGTTCACTCTTCACAGTTCTCACGAGGGTATGTTTCCGCATATCACCCGAGAGTCGTCCAGGGGGGTCCACATGAGGCCTCCGGTAGGTGCGAACAGATGGCCCCGGCTGCACTACGTCTGTGTCTGACGCAGGTACTGCCGCCACTGTGAGGTCAGTAGCCTAAGCTTTTGCCAAGTTCAACAGAAATGCTTTGTATTTCAAAGTAGAATTTCTGTTCACCTTTTTGAAAACCGAAAATGGATTCAAATCTCTTACGACTCATGAGTTTGCCAAAACTGGGAATTCCTAAAAGTGGGTCACTTGACCAATAATCCTTCAAAGTATCTATCTTCGTAAGACCCATTAGAATGATCATAGCCAAAATTTTTTTCATTTCTGCTGAAGTGACGTCCACCCACTTGAGCGCTTTATAGGTGTGGTCGTACGCCTCACTGTGTTGGAGATAGTATCTGTTAGTCTCCTGACATAACAGGTCAAAGAAACTATCTCCAAAAAACAGTGACGCAACTTCAGACATATCCGTTGGGTTCGATGGCATCCACTTCACCCCTGGCTCACCAGTAAACCTACCCAAAGTGGGGGTTTTGTCCACTTTACCCCATTTGTCCATCCCGGTACTCTCACTTTCACTGGACACAATATTTTGGGGGGGGCCCTGTGGCCCCTGTCACTGTCACTTTCACTGAGGCTGGCCTCGCTATCAGAAGACGAAGCAGTTGGCAAATCTGATAGCTCATCGGAGAACAATTCTAATATTTCTTGTTCTCCGTGAGAACGCTTCGCCTGCAACTGCTTTCGTCTCTCATCCTTGTTGCACTGTTAACTTCCTGGTTCATACGTGGAAGCTTGGACTCGAACAAAGGCTTTTTTTCAGTAGTTATGATGCAACGTGGCCACAGAGCAAGATATAGTCGGTTGCAACATAACGCGTCAGAAAAGGGCCAATTGGCCTGCCCGGTCCGCAACGCTATAGAAACGTAGAGGGCCAATTGGCCCCTCCGGTCCTGAATGTGTTAAAAATAGGATTTATATGAGAATATTTTAGTCTTGAGGGGAAGACACCAAGACTTGATACTTTATTACACATATATGTCAGTGATGCTAATATGAATGGTAAACTTATTTTGAGGATATATTGTGGAATTTCATAATATCCGTGTGAATATTTCCATTTTAATGATCTCACTATATCTTTAACTTCTTTATTAATTACTGGTGACATATATATATATATATATCTGGAAAAGGGTGTTTAAACATAGCTGTAAGAAATTTAAGGGCTTCACTCCTGTCTTTAGTTGAACTATTTTTTAATTGTGGTAGTGGAGATATAAAATAGTTATTAATGTAACTAGCCCTTTTTTTGTATATTATTACATAATTTACTTTCTATATTTATGCTTGCTTTTGGATTTTTTTCCGATTTAATATTAGTTATAGTTCTGATGACACTCCAAGTAGTTTTTATTTTATTATCGGA